TGTTGAAGATCAATCTAGGGCACTTGGGAACTATTGCTCGTCACTTTCTCTCTCTAGAAGTCGTTCTATCTCTCAAAAACTCGAATCCCCCCGAATTGTGGCTGAAATTCTGCTTAAAAGGAGAAAATCCCGACTCACACGGCCAGGGTGGCACGGCCGTGCAGCTCACCCAGTTGCCCGTGTGAGTCAAAACGTTGCGTATCATTTAGTTGAATTTCAGGCTTCTTGCACGGCCAAGGTGGCACGGCCGTGTGAACTTCCCTTCCTGCCCGTGTTTGCTCTCGCAGAATGTGGCACGGCCAGACTGATCACTTGCACGGCCGTGTGATTGTCTGCTCTGCCCGTGTGTGCTCTCGGCAAAACTCGCACGGCCAGGCCATTCCTTCACACGGCCGTGTGATCATCAGGGCAGCCCGTGTGACCTCCTTTGTGACTTGCCTCGCGCCCGATCTTCGCCCAATCGACCCCGAACTCGCTCCTAAACCTTCATTCACTTGCCAGGACCTGAAATATCACAAACAAGCACAACCTAGCGTGAAATCGGTCTAAAACACGAGAAACCACATCTCAAACGGTGTAAGAACAGGGGTGAAAACATGTGTAACTAACGGTCTATCAAACTCCCCCACACTTAACCGTTTGCTTGTCCCCAAGCAAACCTAACTCAAACCAATGCAACTCTCCAGACCTCTATAGCAACAAACAACCTAGATCGTAGGTAGAGGACTTCCTAGATCATTTAGCAACTTACGAGGTCAACCGACGCACAAGTCATCTCATAACTTCTTCGGCGAGTCGGCATCATGGCAAATAGTGAACAGAAGACAAATGAATTGTGGATGAAGAGATTCTCAAAAACAAAGGATCATGGACTCACATTTTTCAAGGTGCTCTATTTTATTCTTGAAGATGGTTGGAACCCCCTTTTTTTCTGTTTTGCTTGTTTTCTGTTATTTTTTCTTTTCTTTTCTTTTCAAGGGTCCCAACCTGCTCTTACCGGCCATGCCAGGAGCGGATGTCTCGAGCCTCGTGCGGGGGAAAGCCATGCAAGGGGGCTGGAGGTAGTAGGTGGAAATTGGGAACGAATTCCCGTCTCCCCTTACACACTTTCGCCCTATTCGCACGGGAGACGTTATTTTGAAGCACATTTTCGAGCACCTGTTAAACTCAAAACATGATACAAGAGTCCATGACAGGTAGAGAATCCACAACACCACACAATTCAAGGGTCCTAAGATCACTAATTCACTCAATCAACCAACTCAATATGAAGAAGAAATGAGACTTCTTAAATGCATCAACATCCTCCATAGTGCTACACTACCTCCCTAGGTTGCATATTACTATAAAGACTGTCAATTCAAAGCATACTGAGCAGGCAATTGCATGAAAACACGTACTTGGAGCCCTCAAATTTAAAAATTTGGACAGTGGACTAGGCTCCAAGCACACAAACAGATCTAATGCAGTCAAAAGATAAACATCCCCCCACACTTAAGCTCGACATTGCCCTCAATGGAGAAGAGGGAAGGGAAAGGGGAACGATGTTACTGGTATGCACGGACTGCAGGGGACTGGAAACGGGCCAGTCGGGGCAAGCACAGCCAAAGGGAAACAGAAGAGCTCAACCACAATATGTTAGGTTCAATGGTCAGCCCAATAAAATATCATCCAAACCAAAAGAAAACAAACCAAACCCAAACCGGGTTACAATCCGACTCAAAACCCTAGAAAGAAAATCAAACCGTGGTGGGGTTGCCTCCCCACAAGCGCTTCTTTACCGTCTTTTAGCTGGACGCCCATGGTGGATACTCAGGGCGGTGCAGGAACAGGTGCCTTCAAGAGCGGATCCACGTCGCTCTTGAGGTACAGCTTGAGGTTGTGGCCATGCACCCGACGGATGCGACCACCCTCATCAGTCAGCTCGACCTGCCCATCTGGCAAGATGCAGGCGAGTGAGTACCCAGACGGCCAGGGTGGTCGTGGTGCAGGAGGTGGGACCAGCTCATAGTGGTCTCCACTCTTCTTCCGTGCAGGCTTAGCAACCTGCTGCTTCGGCCGCCACTCCTCCTTGAGCTTTTTGTTCGGAGGCGAGGCTGGATGGAGTGGCGGCGAAGGAATGATAGGAGGGTCCTGCAAAATAGGAGGTGCAGAAGGATACACGACAGGCTCGTGTACCTGATCAGACATAGCATGCACAGGCGTGACAGCAATCATAGCACAGTGATCAAATTCAGTCACAGAAAAAATAGCCTGTTCATTCCCAGCACGAAAGATCAGTTTTCCATCATGCACATCAATAAGTGCCTTGGCGGTGGCAAGAAATGGCCTACCTAGAATCAAAGGCACATCCACATCCTCATGTATATCAAGAATAACAAAATCAACAGGATATGTGAATGCACCAACACCAACAAGCAGATCCTTTATGATTCCCCTAGGATGCACAATAGAACGATCAGCTAATTGAATGCTCATCCTAGTAGGGCTAAGTTCACCTAGGTCTAGCATTTTATACAACTTATATGTCATGACATTAATGCTAGCGCCTAGGTCCGCCAAGGACTTTCCTACATGCATGCTGCCAATTGTAAGAGGGATAGTAAAACTCCCTGGATCCTTGCGCTTCTCGGGCAGCTTGTTCTGCAGGATAGCAGAACACTCCTCGCTCAGCAACACTGTCGAGAGATCCCCAAGTTTCTTCTTGTTGGTGCAGAGATCTTTCATGAACTTGGCATACTTGGGCATCTTCGACAGTGCCTCCACGAACGGTATGCTGAAGTTGAGCTGCTTCAACATTGCCATGAACTTGGCAAACTCAGTCTCCAGCTTGTCTTTGTGTAGGCGAGTGGGGAAGGGAAGCTGGGGCACATGCTCCTTAACCACTGGTTGTGGCTTGGGAGCAGGGGCTTCCTTCTCTACCCGCACTTCTGCATCGTCGGCTGGAAGTGCTGAAGCAGTCAGTGGTTCCTCCTGTCTGGCCGGGACAGGATCAACAGATATGGTCTTACCGCTCCTGGTAAAAATGGCATCCAGCTGCTGATGCTGGTGAGGATCTCGAGAATTCGGGACAGTGGTGGCAGGCAAAGTCCCCGGTGCCCTGGTGGTGGTCTGGCGGGCCAAGATGCCCACCTGGGTCTGCAGATCCTGCAAAATGGCACCCTGGTTCCTCTGACCTGCCTCCAGTGAGGCTACACTCTGGTCCAACCTCGTGATAGTCGCCTGAGTGCTCGTCATGAATGAAGCTAGAATGTTTTCCAGCTTCGTCATCCTGTCATCTGGGGCCGGAGCTGCTGCTGGCTCGGCAAACTGGCGCTGGGGCTGCTGGAATGGATGCCCCTGCCTAGGCTGGTAGGGCTGCTGCTGTGGGTCTGGCCCCTGCCGAGCCTGGAAGGGCTGCCTCTGCTGAAAACCACCTGCTGGTGCTGGGAAACCAGGTGGTTTAGTGGTGTTGCTGCTCCAGGCGAAGTTGGGATGCTGGCGCCACCCCTCATTATATGTGCTACTGTATGGATCGAGGCGCCTCGCATTGGCGATGAAGGCCAACTTCTCCTGGGGTGTGGTAGACTCCCTCATAGCCTGGCAGTCCTCCACTAGGTGATTGGAGGTCTCACACCACTGACACTGAGCAACTGGAGGTGTAGCCAAACCTCTGGCCGGAATCAGACTATTAGGCTGCTTCAATGTCTGCACTAGCTCAGCTACCTGCTGCTCGAGCCCAGATCTGGTCTCCATGGCGTGCACACCACGGTCCCTGGAATGTCTGCCTCTGCTGCTCTGCCCCCAAGAATGATCTCTGGCAGCCAAAGTGTTAATCATCTGGTTAAGCTCGGGTGGAGTCTTAGTGAGAACATCCCCTCCTGGGCATAAAGACTCAATCACCCTCTGGCTATCTGGGGAGAGAGCACTGTAGAAGTTCCCCACTGTGAATGCATCACTGAAACCATGATGGGGACACTGCCAGAAATATCCCATGTACCGCTCCCATGCATCACGAAGTGACTCATCTGAATCTTGGCGGAAGTGAGTGATCTCCCGTTGTATCTCTGTAGTCTTCGATGCCGGATAGTACCTGTGCACGAACTTGTCAGCCAGATCGTCCCAAGAGGTGATAGACAATGGGGGCTGGGTCTCCAACCACCTCTTAGCATTCCCCGCCAGAGAATGGGGGAAGAGATGAAGGCGGATTGCATCATCCGGGACACCATTCAGCTTGAACCCGTTCGTCAGCTGCAGAAAACGGGAAAGATGTACCCTGGCCTCCTCATCCTTCAAGCCATGGAACTAGATGGAAGATGTAATGAGCTGAATCCAGCATGGCTTGATCTCGAAGTTGTTTGCTGGGATAGGCGGGTAGAGGATGACCGGGCGGATGTCAGCAATCCGAGGAGTGTAGTAGTACTCCAAGGTGGGACCCGGCTGCGGTGGATGATGAACTCCATGATCCTGGGGTATGGGGTTGTTCCCCAGGACCTGATTCACCGGGGGAGCTTGCTGAGGGATTCCCCTGGTGTTGATTGTACTCTCCGTCCATCCCGTGCTCTTCTTCAGAATCACTGCTCACGTGGCCGTCTATGCGCTCTTCCGTAGCCAGTCTAGCTCGCTGTTGTCTCCTGAGCTGGCGACAGGTGCGGTCAATCTCTGGATTCAACGGCAGTAAACCTCCCGACTGGCTACGGGTCATGCACTACTTGCACACACTCAAGCAAGCAAACCCGTGAAGGCACAAGTGGGACAAAGCAAACAAAGCAGAAAGAAAGGCTAAATTAACAGAAATCACTTTTCTTCAACAACCTAGCCGTTCCCCGGCAACGGCGCCAAAAACTTGACTCGACTCTACTGTCACCCTAGGAATTGGCCAAGTGAAACCACTTCCTAAAGCGTAGTATAGCAGGTTAGGTTTATATGTCAACCCGGGTCCTAGATCTGATGACTACTCAGTGAATTCTTGTTATCTAGCAATGAAACTGGAATGCAAGTCTAAACTACCAAACAAACAAAGCAAGTAAACTGTTGTATTCAGGTTAAAGAGGTCACCCGGATATGGTTCCCCCTAGACTGCAGTTAAGCCGGATTGTAATTACCAAGTTCAGTTTCTATGAAAGTTATACTGCGGAAGGTTCTTAAACAGCCTGAAGTCTCGACTAAAGGTCTTCAGACCCTCTCAATCTGAGTCTCTAGCGGGCGACTAACCTCCACCGGAGTAAACAGATTGAGGCCCTAAGAACAAAACCTCCACTACCGGAGTAAATCCGGTACAGAATAGTGAGTTGGTTCCTCGACTAAAGTCACCAACTCCCTACCTTCAATCAAGGATACTCTATTAACCTAGGCAGATATTCTTATTCTAGGTTAAAGCAGAAACAACAGGAATTTGATCAGGATTTAAGTCATTCAATCATTAAAACCTCAATCGAATATAATCAATCATAGAATCAGTACTTGGGTTCATACAATCAAAGCCTAACATACAAATCTAGGGTTCTCCATACCCAGATGAATGGGAGAACTACTCCATGGAGAAGAAAGCAAAAGCAGAATCAGACACGGAATTCATACTGCGAAGGATGGATTCCGGCTTCTGGACGTTGATCGGCACTTCTCCAAGCTCAAGCTGGCCTCCAATGGTGTTGAAGATCAATCTAGGGCACTTGGGAACTCTTGCTCGTCACTTTCTCTCTCTAGAAGTTGTTCTATCTCTCAAAAACTCGAATCCCCCCGAATTGTGGCTGAAATTCTGCTTAAAAGGAGAAAATCCCGACTCACACGGCCAGGGTGGCACGTCCGTGCAGCTCACCCAGTTGCTCGTGTGAGTCAAAACACTACGTATCATTTAGTTGAATTTCAGGCTTCTTGCACGGCCAAGGTGGCACGGCCGTGTGAACTTCCCTTCCTGCCCGTGTTTGCTCTCGCAGAATGTGGCACGGCCAGACTGATCACTTGCACGGCCGTGTGATTGTCTGCTCTGCCCGTGTGTGCTCTCGGCAAAACTCGCACGGCCAGGCCATTCCTTCACACGGCCGTGTGATCATCAGGGCAGCCCGTGTGACCTCCTTTGTGACTTGCCTCGCGCCCGATCTTCGCCCAATCGACCCCGAACTCGCTCCTAAACCTTCATTCACTTGCCAGGACCTGAAATATCACAAACAAGCACAACCTAGCGTGAAATCGGTCTAAAACACGAGAAACCAGATCTCAAACGGTGTAAGAACAGGGTTGAAAACATGTGTAACTAATGGTCTATCAGACGGCGAAACTGGCAACGCAGCGGGGTCGACGAGTTGGGAAATTGCTTTCTTCCTCACATGGCAGGATGAACCATCCTCGCCCCAAGTCCTCGTCGGCTCTCTCCGATTTCCACCTCTATCTCGTATTGCCGAGATGCCGTGACGGTGCGGTATGTATCCGCCAGATATGTCCACATAGCAGCGGAGCTGGGAAGCATACGAAGTCCCAGGAGGATGGAGGCATCGACGGAATTGAGGAGAAGAGTTCTTACTTTTGCATCGGTCATTGCCCACTGTTGTACTTCTTGTATTGTTGCCGGCGGTGTGGTTGGACGAGCTACCGTCCCATCAAGCGAGCCCAATAAACCCTTCCCCTCAATCAGCGTCTGAAATTGAAACTCCCATACAGCATAATTCTTGGAGTTCAAACGCGATGTTATCTGTTCAGAAGACATAGGCTCTGATACCATGTTAATCGAAACGGAAATATCGAAACGGAAACGTAGAGAACACACATGTTTACGTGGTTTCCCCGTTCAGGATGAACGAGACTAGTCCACGGCCGAAGCTATTGTATCTCTTATTCAGCTTAACTTCGATAGGTTCCATTAAATAGATATATATACAATTCTAGGGTGAAACCCTAGACCAAAACTCGGCTGCCCTAAGAAACCCATTCTGCCGAGATATGGGTGGGCCAAAGCCCATAACACTCAACATAGTCCTTATGAAATTTTTGATTTTAGACATTCGACTCAGTGTTATTTTATGATAAGATTGGGTTTAACTAGAAAAATTATCAAGTTGAACATATTCAAATCACTATTCTAAATTTAGTCTAGAAATTTTAGCTCCAAAGATTATGCGTCTTAAAAAAAAATGAAACCTAAAATTCTAAAAAATTTAAAACGTAAAAGACTAAAAGAAATATGAGGTTTGTTCCCTTACAAATTTACTAAAGCAGCTGGTGTGCAGGGAATAGGGATCGACACACAATGCAAATTGATTAGTCGATTGATTTATCTAGTGTTGATGCTGCTCGTTTCAACAGCTACTATGAAGAGAACCTTTTTAACAATGAAACATGTGAGAACTGATTTGCTCAACAAAATGAGCGATGAATTTCTCGCCGATTGCTCAAGTATTTTATTTGAAATAGTGTATACTATTGGTATAGATGTAGACTTCATTATTGATGCATTCCCTAAATTAAAATACAGTAGTGTACAATTTACATTGCAAAAAACCATAATCATTATATTTTTTTACGATTCTAATTTTCTAATGTAATGCGGCTCATGGCTCTTCTGTGTTCTGGATCCGCCGCTGTGTGAGTATTGTGGGAGAAAGAGAGAAAGAATTGTGTGAAACTATGAGAACTACCCTTTTTTATTGGAACAAAAAAGTAGTTGTTTTTTGCATTCATCCTGTTTCCAAATACATTATTGTTTTCGGCCGTTCGTGACTGTTACATACCATAATATACAAGGCCACGTATGTCAAGTATAACTGGCAGATAGGGATGGCAAACCAGATCCGCCCCTGTGGATTTTTCCCGATCCAACCTGCAATGGGCAGACAAAATCCAATTTGTGCTTGAACGAGGCGGATATGGACCCGACCCATGGTAAGAAGTCATGGTTGTCACGCCGGTCGGCGTGCCACCGGTTGTACCTGATTCAATCGATACCGGTCATAAAACCGGCGTAACACCATCGGTATGATCGGCATGATTGATATACGAATCTCTAAGTAAAATGACCTTATTTGAGTGAATTTAATTGATAAAAATTATTATATTATTTATTTTATGAGTATAAAAGTTAAATATTGATGTTATTTGTTGAATTCAAATATAAATGTTTAGATATTGACGATAAATGCCATGTTTAAATATGAGTATTTATAATTTTATTTGTAATATTGACCGGCATGAACCGGCACAAACCGGTATGTGCCACTGGTCGAACCATTCCACTTACTAAACCGGCACACTGGCATAAACCGGTTTGACAACCTTGGTAAGAACAGATCGAACATGGGTATTTAATTGGAACATTCCCAGTACACTTTTGAGGTTTGTTTACACTCGGTTCCCAACCCATCCCTAATTCTCAAACATCGCGCCGTCACTCCTAAGCATATCTTCACTCCGTCATCCTTGGAGAACAATAATTGATCGGCTTTGCAGCCATAGCAGCAAGATACAAAGTAGGTATCGTGGGAGAAGTTTCTGGACACAGCTCCACTTAAAATGCCGGCGAGAAGGAGAAGGGGTTGAAGTGATAGAGATGGAGCTGGTCGGATTTTACCCGCCCACGCGCCGAGCAATGTTTGGAGCAAAAATTGTCGACTCATCACGAGGCAGATCGGATCAAGAATTCAAAGGCAGAGCTGAGCATTAATTTAGCACTATCCTCCCTCGACATGTACGTTTCCGTTCCTACTTAGAGACATTTAGCTATATATATGAGAACGACCGTGCATGTTGATCTAAACTTAACATCTTTTACTTAGTATGCGCTGGCGCACGCATAATGAACTAAACTTCAACCAATTATACTTATTGTACAAATCCTCGCACATTTTAAACCTTTGCACAATATTTGTCTGAATATTTTTTAGGATACATACAATTTAATATCTAAACCTTTCATTTTAAACAATTTAATAGCCAAACCTTTTCGAAAACAATCTAATATCCAAATCGTCAACTTTTCGTCCGTTTGACCTTTAGTTGACACTTCAAAAAAGCTTTGTTTAGGGAAAATTGTCACAATACGGCTTTGTTTTCTTGTTTTGGCATTGCAGATGACTGAATATTTAGATATTTTATACCATCATGGTGGAGTTATGGACTTCTCAGGTTTGGAACCACGATATGTTGGTGGTTTTTCAGAGAAGATATCGATGGATATTGATGAAGTGTCGTACGTCGAACTTGATGAAGTGTCAACAAACAGTCAAACGGATGGAAAGTTGACGATTTGGATATTATATTGTTTTCGAAAAGATTTGCTATTATATTGTTTAAAATGAAAGATTTGGATATTAAATTGTATTTATCCTATTTTTTACAACACTGTATCGATTATAATTTATTCAATTTGTACAATATCTTGGTCACGCTCCTCTCCATCATCATGACGCAGGTTTTCTGTATTGCAACGTCACATACCCACCATCACACTCCAAAAGTTTTTCGGTGGTTTGTTTCCATTCACTTCTTGTCATCAAGTTGGAGGAATTTAATACTAATAATAATGTATTATTCAAAATATCTTTTTTTTGTGGTAGAATTTATTCAAAATATCTTAATTCTACTTTAGTGTCGTTCATAAAACGGGAGCCGCCTTTCTTTACACGATGCTTCAAAAATCAGGAAAAAATAATTAATTTCCTTTTTTTGTGTGCAATAATTGATTTTTTTTTTGTTAATAGATTTGACATATTTTCGTGGAACTGAGATTTAAATCTATGTTGGTATTCTATCACAAAATATAATATTATATGTTATTAGTAGAAACATAAGTTTCATGAGCCGCCTCTTTGGTTTAGAATTTAGCCTCTTGAGTTTGACGATACATAAATCCAATCCAGTTGGGGCTATGTTGATCGAAATGTCAATAACTTTCATGGGTTGACCAAATGTCCACCAGCAGCTAACTGCAGCATGCATAGGGATGGCAAAAGGTCGGGTCAAGGACGGATAATGCATATCTGTTACTCTACCTAAAGTAGTTCGGGTTTTACCCATACCATACTCACATAAGAAACGGGCAGAAAATCCAAACCATGCCCATATCCGTTCGGATTTCGGGTATCCACGGTTATCCATGGGTAATAGTTTTTCTTTATAACTCCAATCAATATGTTAATATTTACACGTATTCTCACATTACGTAAGACGAAAAGTACGACAAAAATTCACTAGAATGAAGAAAATTAATTAAAACAACACAATTTCATAAGAAAATTATATTTATATGCTAAATATAAAATATGTTAGAGAAAAATATTGATTATTTCTAGACAAAATATATATGCATGTGTATAATCGGGCGGGTTCGGGTTGGATAGTGAGAAAACCATGCCCACCACCTTAATTTACTTTCTTTGCTTGTTTACAACTGTAGTTATTTAGCTTTTAACTCCAAACCGTTAGCTAGATAACAATTTAAGCGATTGAAGTAGGAGTACATGAACCGCCTCGGGTTGACAATTAAAACACTTGCCGTATACTACACCCTTCTAGAGTTTGCACTTGGGCTTTAGTCGGGATTTAATTGTGTAGTTAGCAACGATTCACCTTCATTCCACCAAATTTGAGGATTGCTCTCTCATTGCCACACCTATGGAACTCAACCTGAAGTGGTCAAAGGATACGAGTACTCGCTAGCTAATGATCTCAGTATCGCTCCATGGTTAATCTCGGCCTGATCTTTCGTACGCGGTTCACATAGTTAGCCAGTTTATGTCCTCTCCTCATGATACTCATCTTGCGGCAAACCACCATATCCGTCGATACATCCAACATAACCATGATCGCGGTCTTTACTTCTCTTCGATTGGTGAGCTATCTCTTCAAGCTTTCTCTGATTCTAACTATGCATGTTGTATTGACACACGACTTTCTACCACTGGCTGGTGTTTCCGCTCTAGTGGGTCATTTGTGTCCTAGAGGTGCAAGAAGCAGGATAAAGTGTCCAAATTATCCATGGAAGCCAAATATCGATCCATGTCTGATGTTAGATTGGAATTGATTGGCTTCAATGACTTCCTCTGGATTTTGAGGTTCATATCACTGTTCACATGAAGCGTTATATTGATAACACGAGTTTCATTCAGATTGAAGCTAATTCGATTCTCCATGATCGCACCAAGCACATCGAGATTCACATCCACTACGTTCATGACTTTGTGCGTAATGGTTCTATTCGCTTACACTATTTTCCCATTGAAGAACACGTTGCATACATCTTCATGAAGGCACATAGTTCTAGTCAGTAGTCGCCATTAGTACATCTCGCCCAAATTGATGCTTTAGCCCCTGCATCAATTTTGGGGAGGATATTGACGATATTGGATTTCAGCTTCAGCTTAGCTAGCTTCGTATAGGTGCTTAGCGATTAGTTCTAGTCCATGATTAGTTTTTATTTGGTGGCTGGTTAATGACGTAGGCCCGTGCACGTCTCATGCAAGCTTAGGGTTTCTTGCCCTACGCTTCGCCAGTGTGGTTGTATATATATTTGTAACGTGTGCTGATGTGAGGTATCAAATAATAACGCATGTTCGAGATTCCTAACTCTCCCGTGGACTAGTCTCAATTTTTTGGGAAATCACGTAAATATAATGTTTTGCTCTTCATTATTTGTTTGTTTCACGTTTGATCAAAAAAAATTTACAATTGTTTCCACTATATTCTGTTCCTGTAATATATATGTGGATGTCCTTTGTCCACCCATTCAACAGACAAGCACATTCCTAACCGACCACCTATTTTGTTTATTATGAAGAAGGAGTTGGGATCATCCATTGCCAATAAAAAGTAAGCATAGAAGACAAATGAATACACACCAACAAGGTTCTCTTCTCCCTCACTTCTCTGTGTATCTCCCTCACTTCTCCGTGTATCCTCTGTAATAGAGATACGAGAGTATGAAATAAAAGCCGTGTTACTCTCTTTCTACTTCGTGTTCCATGTTTATCCATCTCCGGAATAATTATTTATAACAATTGACTATTTATAAACCGACAACAAATTGGTGTATGTCCCAAAAAGTTCAGCCTACCTACTCTAATATTCAATCGAGTCCAGCGCTGCCCATGCTTTCTCTGCTTTCGACTTAGTTTGAAACACCCACCGTTTTCTTTTTTATTTTTATTTTTTTATTACAACACCCGCCGTTTTAGGTTGTACATTTGAATTTAATGCCTTAAGCATTTTGTTTACGCATTTAAAGATTGTCACAAAAATAGCCACCTTAGCAATATACAAAAAATTTAAACATTGTCACAAAGTAACCAATATCGTTTTCTGAAACGAAAATCGTCTTGTAAATATTATTCAATTAATAAGCTCTCATAAAAATTATATAAAATTATCATAAAAAATTAATAGCATTATTAATTATTTGCTCGTCCACTCTAAAATCCTCTCCATTTTGTGTTATTCTGAAATTCATATGACTCGTTTGATTTAAGTTTCTTTAGTTCATCGAGTCAAAATGAATCATTTTGAATTTATGAGTCATATATTAACCGAAACTCTCGGTAATGGACTGCAAGTCCTACTATTACTATATAAAAAAACGTTTATGAATTATGAGTCATATATGACTGAAGCTCTACGTAATGGAGCGGATTTGTGTAATAACCATCTCAATTAAATTTAAGGGTTGCATCTTTTTCATCTTAAGTTTATTTTTTTTATAATTACCGAAAAAAGTAATTTTGAATTATATTAATCGTACTCTTCAAAAGTAACATCCAGTTTGTTATATTTTGGAAAAAAAAATCTATATTTGAGAAATATATTTTCAGTATGTATCAATATAATGGTATTTCATATTAATTAGCCACCATCTACCACTTTTTGCCGAACACTTCTACTCCGCTTTATAAATACAAGTTCAGATTGTACCATAAGAAAATTAGTACATTTATGTTATGATACAACTTCAGGTTGTACCATAAAGAGATTTGTACAGAAGAGTAAAGCTACAAATTGAAGTTGTGCCATAATGTTAAATGTACAAATTAAAGTTATACCATAAAAGCGAAAAACTAAAGCACCAATAATGTAAAGCAATAATTCCTTCGTTTCGCCACCTTTACCCCGCACACTATATTTATCTTAGGGCCAATACCTTATTTTGGCCCGAACTATACCCCAAACTTTATACTTTGTTCCGGTGGTTTCTATTATTGATTCTCTAGCCCTAACTATGCATTATTTTTGGCATCCAAAATTTTGAATTATTATTTTATTAAAAAATGAATTAAATAAATTAAGAAAACCAAATTTTTTTATTTCGGGTTCGCTGACGTGGAAAGTGTCCGGGTGCTTTGACTAACGGTCAATAGGGTTAATCATGCAATTTGACGGTCAAAATCCACGACGAGCCAAGTAAGTAAGTATAGTGCATAGTTCCGACCAGGGAAGCAATTTCAGAAACCACGTACCACATTACAAAGTTTGGATATTGTTCGGGCAAAATAAGTTTTAACCCTTTTTATCTTATGACAAGTAATCATTTAAATAAGGTGGACAATTGAAGCTTGGTGGATTATATTCCATCACATCAATCGTCGCGAATTGAACGCTGGATATATTCATGGTGAGCCGCCGCCATGCAATACACCAAACGTCTCCACAGTAATATCCTCTTCCTTCCCCACTTGTTGTATGTATTTGTCTATATAATACATTGCATAGCTGCGCTTTTTCTTCACAGATCCACTTCTCTACTTGAGAACAAATTAACCAATATACAGACAGCTACAAAAAAAGCCACCTCATCATCTAACAGAAATTCCTCGTCCTTTAATTTTTCCTTTGCCATGTCTCACAGCACACCATTCTCATCCTCACCAGGTTAATTATAACCTCTTATAAATCTTGTCCATCATCTTCTTAACCTGAACTAATTATGTTATTTGATCTCTCTGCTCTGCTCTGCTTAATATTATTAATATTGTATGGTAATCATTCAGGAATCCGGTGCAGTTGCGGGGAGACAAGTAAGCGGCCGGTTTTAGCCACAATAAGCAAAACCTTAATCTGTCCGCCGGCGGTGGGTGTTCTGATACCATCAAAACTGCTGCACGAGTTAATTAATTTATAATAATAATAATAATAATAATAATAATAATAATAATATAAAAATGTTGTGATCTGAATTATGGTACGTTATTAACGTACGTAACAGAGGCTTGCGGAGTCGAAAGAAAGGATACGAAAGCTGTTCGACAAAGTTGAGCTGTCGACGTCGGCGTACGACACCGCATGGTTGGCAATGGTGCCGTCTCCGGCTGTGGCGCCCTGTTTTCCCGACAGCCTGAAGTGGGTATTGGAGAACCAACGGGAGGATGGGTCGTGGGGTTTGCCCGCTCACAGCAGACCCATTTCCCTCACCAAAGACGCTCTCTCCTCCACTCTAGCCTCCGTTCTTGCTCTCAAGCGATGGGGCGTCGGAGGAGATCGACACGTTCAGAACGGTAACTCGACTCGATTCGGCTCGACTCTATCGGTCTAACAAATTTGACGTTACGTAATAATATCAACAAAAACCTAAGCTTTTATCTTATTCTCATTAATTAATTAATTATTATATATTAAGCTGGTTCGGGATTGGAAGAAAACAAGGTTCGCGCATGCAATGTCAGAATACTATATTTATTATATATATTCTGGCGAGACGGCGCCCACTGCAGATTTGATGACTTCCCCTTAACAAATTCAAACTCGGGGTTTGTACTTTATAGAATAGAATAGACAAATGTTAACCGAAACATCTTAAATTATTATCAAAATATATATGGAGGTGTTTGTTTGATATGGAATTGTCTAGGGACAGCGACAATTCCACTAGTTTTGATTCTACGAATTACAAATTGCAAATGTTAAAAAAGCATTTTCCAGCTTTGAGTTATATTAAAAACAAGTTTTCAAGTCGATTTGGCGATCAATTTGCTAATGCTAATATAGTGAGATACATTGAAAAAGAATTATTTAATAGTGTAAACGACGAATGTTTTTGCGTTTTTTCACAATATGAAATCTCTCTGTGGTTGTTAAAAACAATGATTGTATAGTCGATTATTTTTAATCTATGAATGAATTATGCAGATATAATTAATTTTAATTAAATATTTATATATTTATATTATGAAAAGAGGACATGGATGGTTTAAAATGCTGCCTTCTAGTTCTAACCTTCCAACTTGAATTTATTTGTGCAGCACTTGAATTTATGGAACGAAACTCGGCCGCTCTCTCCGATCCAACCCAACAAACCCCGATCGGGTTCGACATAACATTTCCCGCCATGATCCAAACCTCCGTGAAGGATTACAATTTGAATCTCCCGCTCAAATCCGCCCAAATCGACTCCATGCTCCGCGACAGAGCCACGGCCCTCAGCTCAGCGAATCCAGGCTCTCAAGGACGCGACGCCTACTTGGCCTACATCTCCGAAGGAATCGGAAGTTCGCAGGACTGGGAAACCGCCATGAAATTCCAGAGGCAAAATGGCTCCCTCTTCAACTCTCCCTCCGCCACCGCAGCAGCCTTCATCCACCTTCACGACCCCGATTCCCTCCGCTACCTCCGCTCAGCCGCCGCCGCCGGGAAGAATGGCGGAGGTTGGGTTGTAGACAAAATTATGAATTGTATTTGTTTCATCCGAATCGGATTAATTTGACTCTCTGATGAAAATACTGCAGTTCCAGTGATCTACCCGCACGGAATTCACGCCCAGCTCTGCCTCGTCGATGCGGTTGAGGGTTTGGGAATCGATTGCCATTTTGCGGAGGAGATTAAGCTGGCTCTGACCCACATTTACAGGAGCTGGCAACAGGGAGAGGAAGACATATTCCTCGACCCCACGACTTGCGCCATGGCGTTTCGGATTTTGCGACTCCATGGATACCCTGTATCCGCAGATGCGTTCCATCGATTCACAGAAGAGAGGTTCTGGAGCGATACTTTGGAAGGGTATTTGAAGGACGAAAGGGCTGTGCTGGAGCTCCACAAGGCCTCCAAATTGATTTTCCCTCGAGAATCGATTATGGAACACCAGCAAGCGTGGACGCGCCAGTTCCTGACCAAGTTGGTTGGGAAAGATGAATCCGACAATAGGCCCAGAACCCATGAATCGCTTGTCAAAAAGAAGGTGCTGATTCATTGTTGGGTTGTTTGTTGAAATTCCACTTTTGTTGGTGGTGTGGGGGGTTACTAATCAAATGTAGGATTCATTATTTTGAGCAGGTGCGTAACGCTCTTAGCTATCCATTCCGCTCTGATTTGGAACCCGTGGCTCGCAAAAGAAACATCGAGCAGTTTAGGACAGAGAGCTCAAGGATCCTTAAATCGTCCTTCAGGTTTGGCATTCAATTTCGTCGTTCGACATACATACATACATACACTTGCTCCATGGTCATCATCAATCTCTTTGTTTCATATAATCATATCAGCTGTGCAAACTTTGAGGGCAACGATTTAGCAAAATTGGCGGTTGAAGACTTCAACTCTCTCCAGTCGTCTCACCGCGGCGAACTACAACATCTGATGATGTATGTTAATCCGTTACTCTCTTCCCATCAGAGCTTTTAAATTAAAGCTCAATATCGATCTATTCTGTACATAGAAGTCGTCCTAACACTTTGCTGTTGCTGCAGGTGGCTAGAAGAGAAAGGATTGGATGAGATGAGGCTGGCCAAGGTGAGGATGGGGTATTGTTACTTCAGCGCTGTAGCAACTTTCTCCGATGCAGACCACTCCGACGCCCGCATTCTCTTCTCCAAACACGCTCTGCTAGTCTCTCTTGTTGACGACTTGTTCGACATGTTTGGGACTCACGAGGAAATTCTGAACCTTGTCCATCTCTTTGAGAGGTCAGTTAAATACTCATTACCACCAGTTATGGCGCCATCCAGTTCGATAGAGTTGAAGTTGCTCATTGTAACTATTACTGCAGGTGGGATGCGAATAGACCAACGTCGTCACAGTTCAGTTCAGAGCGTGTGGAGACGTTGTATTGGGCAATTCATAGCACCATTTGTGAGAATGTGGAGAAAGCATTCCCCACCCAGGGTCGTAGTGTCATGAATCATATCGTGGAGCTCGTAAGCTTCGTCATATCGTAGTTGATTTGTAAGTTACGATGATGATAGTAAAAGCTTAACATATTCCTTACATTCTGTACAATGTTTTATGTGGCTAGTGGGTGGAAATGCTGAAAGGTATGCTAAAGGAAGCAGAGTGGTCCAAAACAAACACAATCCCGACGCTCGAGGAATACTCGACGAATGCAACCATTACACTTGGCGTAGGAGCATTTCTGGTCCCTGCTCTCTACCTAGCCGGCCAGAAGCTGTCAGAGGAAGTCGTCAAGGGTCCCAAATTTCAGAAGCTGTTCAGAGAAACAAGCAATTGCGGCCGGCTGCTGAATGATTCCAGGGGCTATGAGGTTCGTTTTTACATCTAAATTCACAGCTTATAAGCTCTAGTGTGTTTGAGTCGTTCAATTTCTAACTTTAAGGTCATCATCGCTGCATGGTTACTTTTGGTGTACAGAGAGAAGCTGCGGAAGGGAAACCAAATGCAGTGCTGCTACGAATGAAACAGGGCAAAGGAGGAAATGGTGCGGAAGAGGAAGCCATGGAAGAGGTCGAGAGGTCCATAGAGAACTTGACACGACAAGTTTTGGAGATGGCTCTGGACGAGAAGGACTACGGCCAAGTCCCAAGTGAAATCAGAGACATGTTCTGGAAATCCATCCAAGTGTTCTACCTGTTCTACATGAAGGAGGACTTGTACCATGCCAGCACCAAGTTGGTTAATGTTGTAGAATCTGTAATTAACGAACCCATCTCTCTTCACGAAAACTTAGGATGAGCATACCCATCAAGACTTCGTTAGATTGGTTTCCTTCAAATGTTCATCGCCTTTTTTTTTTTTTTTTGTCTTTAACGTGTGCTTTCGATCGCTGAAATAAAGTGGTTTTCATCGGCCTTAACTCGCTATAATTATAGTGACTTAAGATTCGCAACTCCTATAGCATGTTTCTAGGTTGTATTATGTAAAATATAGTAATTCTATCGATCCTGTTTATCGAACCAAGTATATATTTTCGTCCTACCACCATGTGCTCCAACAGCAGCATATCTCCACTAGTCCCTGGATTAGCCCCATTAGAAGCTTCACTAGAATCTAATAGAGGGTGCAATTGAACATAAGGATTACTCCTTACCCCCTTATCCTAAGAACCATAAACCACTGTTATATAACAGTGTTCCTTTTCTTGTACTTCCAGGCGAATAAAGTTTTCTTCAGTTGCGTTAGCAGCTACAACCAGTTCAGACTTGTGGAACACCCAAATCCTTCCTCCAAAAGGTTGAGAAGGTTCCTGGACGCCAGTTAGAGGAGTCCAGAGTTCTTAAAGGTGTTTGTGTTTAACAAGGATGTGGTGGCCGGCCCCCTGGGAAAATGAGAAGAAGGATTGTTAACCCACGTATCATTCTTCTCCGGTGAGAATCAAACAAAGGCGAGAATCAAACAAAAGGCCGAGGCTCAGCAGCTGAGGCTGAGCATTGATTGGAACACTGGTGAAAATGCAGCATGCAAATGGTGAAAATGCATTGACTGGCATTGCTGGGAACACTGGTGAACACAGTGAGATGCAAGGTATGTCGCGCGCGGGGATTTCAGATTTATAATGCCTAAAATTCGAAGAGCTGTTTCTTAAAGTTGCCTTTGGCGAATTGCCCCTTTGGCTGTATTACCTTTCCAGATCGTCCAAGTAAGTAGGCACAAGTGTTGTGATAAACCTGACAGCTTTGCGGCTCAATCTACAGATATGTGATGCACACAACGCGAAGGCACAGAGACCTTCAAGACAGCTATACAAGCAGCTTGCACGCTTTTGAGGTCTGAGGATTCATGATTCTATTAGAAATATATGCTCATGTTTCCATGTTAAGATGACATCCGCTCTTTGCCCATTTAGGATTCCAAGGAACATTATGCAACAACAACATTCACAAGGGCAGAACTCAAACAAGAGTTTTATTAGCTAGATTTCTGCAAGTTGGACACAAAACTTGAAGCAGCAAAAGCAGCAGAGCCACCCAGAACAGAGACCAGAGCGACAACAGCCTGAATCACAACCTGCCAAAGGTTGTCCTCAGGGACAAGGTACACACACGCCGGCCCCAAAACCAGCAATCCCAAGCTGGCAGTGAGGAGGGCTCCTGGCAGTGCAGTGTCGGTGGCGGCCGAGAGGACCCCAAGTTCTTCAGCTTTGGAGAGGAGGCCCAGCTTCTCGATGGTGGAGAGGGACAGACCGGCTTTTTCCGCGGCGGAGAGCAGGCCGGCCTTTTCGGCTTTCGTCAACAGCTTCAGTTGCTCCACCCTTGTCAGCAGCTTCACCGAGGTTGCCGATGAGGTAGTTTTCTGTCAAGGGAAAATGGAAAGCCAGAGAATGGGAAGGTGAAGTGAAGATCATTTTGTGGATACGAATTGAAATAAAGATAAGGGTGAGAGAGAGAGACCTTCTTGGAGACAGCTGTTGTAGAAGCAGAGGGCAATGGTTTCTGGGCTGCAGCCATGGCCATGGGTTTGAAGAATGAATTGGTTTTGCGGAAGGGAGGAGTTATTATTCCTAAGCTGCTGCTGCTGCGTCCACAGGTTGCTGCTGTTACTTCCATCTTGTTCTTGTGCTCCTTACTCTGCTGCTGCTGCTGCTACTCCACACCTTGTTTCGTTTTCCTTTCCTTATGCGGCTTGGTGTGGGTTTTGATTGATTGGAATGTGTGATGGAGAGGGGAACAGCCAATAACGGACCCCAAATGTGTACGGGGCTCCACGTGGCATCAGCCTCCCCGTGGGCTACACTCTCTTTCCAATTTCCTCGATGCTTTTTTTGCGAAATACAAAATATGCATAATAAAAAGTTGATGTTTTCTTCAGGGAAAAAAATACCTTTCGTTTCATGCCATTAAATTAATTTTTTAGAATTGGGTATGGATATCACTTCCTCATTTCTAAAAATTTAATCATTAATAACCGATGAATTAACTCATTCTCGATCCTCATCTCCTCACAAGAAAGACCAAGCGATGGACCCATGCCCGAACAACCGTCTCACCCATGGATCTCCTCTCCTTTTCTACTGGTACCGCTTGAAGGCCCGTCGGACGCCAGTTCCCCGACGCCTTTGTCACACTTCCCACCACTTATCCCCTCGAGAGATATACAACAAGATATAATCTAAGTGCCCCTCTCTTACTCCCCAAACCTCAGCCACCCCCTTATCTTACAAGCGAGTACTAGAGCTAGATGTTTCGAAACCTCTAATTGTTGATTTCTATCTTGACGATATGTTGCAAACCATTGAATATGAAAATCTTCCTGAAGTTTATTTTAATTGTGGGATAATCAGTCACTTCGAAGAAGAATGCTCAGATCTAAGTGTTAGGCCACCTGTAGCGATGCCTCAAACAAGTCAGAGCCAAACTTTGCCAACTCATGCACTACCCCGACTTCATCTCTATCATCGAAAAGCACATTTGGACCATGGCTGGTGGTTCAAAGAAAATATCGTCGGGCGATGTAGGTTGGACCCCGCCACCAGTCACCGACCAACACGTTGACCAACAAAAGACCATCTCGACATCGAAAAATTGACCCATCACTCCTTCCCCAAGGCAAGGGAAATCTTGAAGAACATTATGGGTGAACAAGACTCCACCCTGAAATCAATCCATGCCATTCCCACAATCACTGCGCCAAGACAGCCTGCTTCCAACAAGGCTTTAATTCCTTCTAATTTTAACGGGAAAGAGGCAATTAATGGGCTGTTCAACAAGCTTTTTCACTACAAGGAAAAAAGAGAAATATGATGAAGGAAGAAACAAAATAAATGCAGCCATAAAGGGGTCAGCATTGGGGGTATCTCTTTGTAAATGGTGATGGTATGACTTTGGAAAAAGGAACGGTTGAAGGCAATAATATTTTATTAGCAGGAAATTTATTTACAAATCAGGCACTCACAACAATTGATTCATTTGAGGGGGTTACTTTTGTGGAGAAAACAAGTTAAAGTTTCATCCTCTAGTTTTACATCACAATGTCCTCTTGGGCCAGCTCCGAGTCATTTTAATGCGAATCAGAGTGGGTCTGTCTTCTTTCCTCGGCCCGATGAGGCATCCTCATGAAATTTAGTTGTTATCCCAATTCCCAACTTGATATGACCAAAGTACGCAACATTTCTTCTTTTTATGGATTTTTTGAAGCTTTTCTCGAACTTGAACAACTCGAAAGTAAAAGATAAGATGGAACGCGATCAAACAGCACCCAACTCATGTGAAGGGCCAATTGGTATATGAAACTAATCAAACAATCACCCACTCGTGGATAAGGCCAATCACAATTAAGTATATGTTCGCTACAACTAGACACGTTCTCTAGTTGATAAGAAACACTTGAACCTCCTGAAAATCCTTCGACTGAAAGTTGCACACAAGAACTCGTTCACAATGAACTTGAACTCAACTTTGATTGATAACTTGAATGAATTATGATTACAATGCCACTCGGTCCTCCTTTAAATAGGCTACTAAACACAAATCCAAAACAAACAATGAAAGCAAATAAAACACTTAAACAAATATGAAAATCACACAAAATCCACAAATGAATGTCTTCCTTCAAGGTAAGGAAATGGTATCCCTTTTGGGCTAAGGAACCCTCAAAAGTCCATCCAATTTGCCACCCTCTTCTCCCTTCGATCTCCCTTTACATTCTTTCTTCTCCATTCGATCTCCCAAGCGCATCTTCTCCATTTGTTCTTCTTTCAGGTATTCTAGCCATAGAATGAGCTTCTCTTTGAATTGGTCCATACACATATAACCAAAATAATGATCCAAATAGTTAGGAAATTCCTCTCTTAGTTTCTTAGCCTTTAAACGTGTAATTGGACCTTCTTGTGATGTTGTGGGCTTGTCTTTGATGACCTCATCAGTCTCTCACTCATGGAAAGGATTTGACCTCATCTGGATTACCATCCACATAAAGTGCAAGATCAGAAACATTGAAGGTTGCACTTATTGTGTACTCTTTTGGCAAGTCGATTTTGTTGGCAGTGGCCCTAACCTTCGAAATTACTTGGAAGGGATCTTCACTTCTAGGTAGCAGATTGGATCTCCTTTGGTATGGAAACCTCTCTTTCCTCTTGTGCACCCACACCCAATCTCCAACTTCAAATGATCGAGGCTTTCTATTCTTGTTGACGTGCTTCATAATCCGCTATGTCCTTCTCTCACTATTCAACCTCACCTTCTCATGAAGATTTTTCACAAACTTGCCCTTCTTCACTCCATCCATGTTGACTTGCTCATTCAAAGGTCGAGGTGTCAAATCTAATGGCATAAGTGGATAACCATACACAAACTCAAAATCTGAGTACTTTGTGGTCAATGCACAATCATGTTGTAAGCAAACTCCACGTGTGGTAGGCAGTCTTCCCAAACCTTGATGTTTCTTGATCATGGCTTGCACAGTTTTGGAAAGAGTACGATTCACCACTTCAGTTTTTCATGTCGCCTTTGACTTAGCTTGTTTGCACTCCACGTATCTAACACACAAGTTCTCCACGTCGCCTTTTATGTGATGCCAATAAAAGTGTTCTTGCAAACAACTCAACATCTTGAAGACACCAAAGTGAGCTATCAATCCACCTCTATGAACCTCCTTCAATAAAATCTCTCGAAGTGATGTTCATGGAATGCAAAGTTGATTACCACGAAAGAGATAATCATCACTTCTGTAGAACTTTCCTTCTACGTGCTTCTCACAAGCCTTATAGATCTCTCCAAAGTCGGAACCCCCTTCATAAGCACTCTTGATTTTCTCAAATCCAAGGTACTTGGAATCCATAGTTGTGATCAAAGGGTATCTTCTTGATAAGGCATCCACAACCACATTCTCCTTTCCTTGTTTGTAATTGATCACATAAGGGAATGATTCAATAAACTCCACCCAACGAGCATGCCTCCTGTTCAATTTGTGTTTGGCCTTCAAATACTTGAGAGACTCATTATTAGTATGAATCACAAACTCTTTTGGTCACACATAATGTTGCCATGTTTCCAATCTCGAACCAATGCATAGAGTTCCTTATCGTAGGTAGGATAGTTAAGTGTAGATTCACTCAACTTCTAACTAAAGATAGTGATATGAGTATTCTCTTGCATCAATACGACTCCAATACCCAATCTTAATGCGTCACACTCCACTTCAAACGTCTTGTTAAAATCTGGTAGCATCAGAACAAGAGCACGAGTGAGTTTTTACTTGAGTAGCTCTAATGCCTTCTCTTGCTCTACACCCCAATAATATGCCACATTCTTCTTAACAATTGTTGTCAATTGGGCGACTATGGTGCTAAAATTTGGAACGAATAGTCGATAGAAGCCATCCAAATCCAACCAATGAAAACTCCTTACTTCATTCACTTTGGTACGGTAGGCCATGCTTGAATCACCTTCACCTTCTCTTCATAAACCTCAACACCATTTGCACTTACCACATAACCTAGAAATACCATGCTCGAGGTACAGAACGTGCACTTCTTAAGGTTGGCATAGAGTTGCTCCTTACTTAAAGTCTTTAATACATCTTACAAATGTCGTAGATATTCCTCAATGTTCTTCGAATAGATCAAAAGATCATCGAAGTAGACAACCACGAACTTCCCAATGAAAGCTCTCAACACGTGGTTCATTAATCTCATGAATGTGCTCGGCGCATTGGTCTGATCAAACGGCATCGCCATCCACTTGTATAAGCCATGCTTCATCTTGAAAGTAGTCTACCATTCATCTTCTTCCTTAATACGAATTTGGTGATAGCCTGACCTCAAATAAATCTTCAAAAACAACTAGAACCATGAAATTAGTCAAGCATATCATCTAAACAAGGTGTAGGATGATGATACTTAACTGTAATTTGGTTGAATGCTCGACAATCAACACACATTCTCCATGCATGGTCCTTCTTTGGCACGAGAATGACAGGAACTGCGCAGGGACTCATGCTCTCTCAAATATGTCCTTTCCCCATAAGATCATCGATCTACCTCTGTAACTCCTTTTTATCCTCTAGATTCATTTTATAAGCCGCCTTGTTTGGTATGGTGGCTCTCGGAACAAAGTCAATTTGATGCTCTATCCCGCGGATTGGAGGTAGGCCTTTTGCAGCTTTCTCGGGAAAGACATAATCAAATTCTGTAGAAGAGACCGGGATCACTCCTCTTGACAGGAAATTCATGAGGCACAAAATCTGGGTAGGCCATTCTTATATCGGCTATCACCTTGTCATAAAATTTCAATGTTGTAGACACCACTTGTTCAATTCTATATATATATATATATATATGGCGAGTTCTACGGTACCCTGGGTAAAATCCGGGGTACCGCATACCTTGAGTATGAAAACACTATCTAGACCTTGAATTGACCGATCTTTCGGACATGATACTATACTGTAGCTCTTAAAGATCAAAATCTAGGTCTTAATTCTCCCAATCTTATACTCCAAGATCAATTTAATTAGAAACAATAATCGACGGTTATGATTCGTCCAAATATAGGCACAAAAAGGAATGCACCATCTTAGGGTTTATAGATTATGATTTAGATAATTAGGACCTAGGGTTCACTCATTAAGGGTTAGGGTATAGTATCAGACCCAAAAAGCCTGCTAATTCGAGGTCTAGATACCGTTTCCATACTCAAAGTATGCGGTACCCCGGATTTCACTCGGGGTACAGTAGAAGGCACCATATATATATATATATATATTTTGGGTACCTCGGACATGAATGGACAAAGGCGTGGGAAGCCAACAGTATAAGAGAGATCTTTTCTACTACAGGTCCCCGAACTGAAGCTTTAATCGGGTGGTGGAAATTCAACACCGATGTCGCTGCTCAAATTAATCGAATGATCACACAAGTGGAGCACGGGTAATTGCTATGGTGATTGGCTAGGAGGTTTCTGTAGAAAACTTGGAACAAGAATAGCTCTAATGGCAGAATTATGGGGAATCTTATAAAGATTGCAGTTTTCATGGACCAAGGAAAAATGGAACTCAATTTCTTGTTTTGGAATCAGACTCGCAGTTGGCCCTTGATTTGATTAAGAAACATACTGATTTTGTCCATCCTTACGCAACAATCCTTGGCACTATTTGTTGACTCTTGGCCAAGGCTGGGTGCTTCATCTGGTTCATACATATCAGGAAGAGAATAGAGTTACGGATTAGCGCTCGACGTACAGTCTCGTCTATCCTTAGATATGCATGATTTAAATGATCCTCTATCAAATTTAGAGATGATACTTTGGGAAGACTTCATAGGCATCAGATTCCCTTGACAGGTTCTGCATAGACGAGCAAATGAGGCACAATTTTATCCTTTATGTTTGCGTGATATGTTTTCTGGCTTTCTTTGTTCTTGAGGCTCTGTTATGAAGAAACTAATAAGATTAGATAGGAAGCAACATAAAATAAACCAAATTTTTGTCAACATCCTTTGTCTCGGACTTTGACTTTACCATAGTTTGTACCCTCAATTGGATGTTTAACATCCACTTAATTATAAAAGTATAAATCAAGTAGGAGGCATTAATAATAAATTTTTTAGACCCTACTAACCTTATTTAAAGCTCATTACCTCCCTTGTATCAAGCAGTTATCACTTTGACCAATATTGTATTACTACTTTCTTGGCAGGACTCATGCTAGAGCTCCTTTTATTGTCTTTCCGTCCAAGGTTCCCAGATTGTTTCCTTGCACAAATTATTTTCTCTGCCATGTATGTAGCTCTCTAGATTCCCATATATGACCCCTTCAAAATTTGGACCTTCTAAAATTTTGGAGATATAGCTAATGAATAACGACAGAGGGACACCAAATTTGACATCAACAAGTGTTCAGAGCGACAAAAAGACAATACAATTATTTTCATAGTGTGCATATGCTTTCGAGTACATAAAATCTTGTAGATATTATTGTTTATTGGTTTAGTTCACCTGCATAGCCATAACTATACATGTTTTTACAATAATAGCCACTTTAAAAAAAATACACAGTTATAGCCACATTTTATAAACTTGTTTGACATAATTAGCCATTTTCGTTAAAAGATTTAACACCGATAACAGGACACTAATGTGGATGCCACCTCAGCTCTCACATTACCTCCTGACACGCCAAAACACAACACCAAACTGCGACCAAGTGTAATCGCAGTCCGGGAATGCAGTAAAGTGGCAAGTTCTATTATCAACCCGGGGTCTAGATCTACTGCTTACTCCGTGATTATCTATTATCTAGCCAACTAAGTCAAGTGATTGTTGTTTTAAGCAAAAGCAGTAAGAAAGCAGGAATTGGTTTGATTTTCTCAAGCAAAGAAGAGTCACTCGGTCGTGAGTCCCCCTAGCTCCTTAGTTAGGTCTCAATTGTAATTACCCTGGGTTGATTTACTGTTGATTAGACTGCGGAAGATCCGACACAAGCTTGGAATCTCTTAAGCTGACCAAGCCCTCTCAGTCTAACTACCCGGCAGACGACTAGTCTTCACCGGGATAGAAAGCTGAAGCAATAAGCACAGAACTCCACTACTGGAATTGGATTCCAGTACAAAGCAGTAAACTGGCTAACTCTCGTATAACCAATTCACCACCATCAATCAAGGAAGCTCTCTTAACCTAATCAGATTCTATCTATCATAGGTTAAAGCAGAAATCAAGAGAATTTGATCAAGATTCAATTGACTCAATAAATCATGCCTCAATCGATTATAATCAAGCAATATAGCATCCAAAATTTCATACAAGAAAGATCCTAACACATGGAACTAGGGTTCCTCAAAACCTAAGTGAAGGGAAGTTACTCCATAGAGAAGAGAGAGACTGCAGAAATCTGATCTAGATCTTCAATCTCCATCTCAAAGCTTGATTCCCGAGCTCCAATGGCGAAGAAATCCTCCAAAATAGCTCCAAGAATGTTCCCAAGTCGCTCTCTCTCTCTCTCTCTCTCTCTAGGGTTCGTCCCTTGGGTGTTTGGGAACCAAAAACCCAGTCTCCCCTTTCCTTTGGCTGAAAATCGAGTTTTAAACAGAAATTCCCGATCACATGGCCAGACCACACGGCCGTGTGGCTTTCCCAGCTGCCCGTGTGAAGGCTCGGTGATTTCCACACGGCCACGACCCACACGGCCGTGTGGAGTTCCAGGATGCCCGTGTGGCTTGCTCAGCCTCTGTTTAATGCTTCGTTTCTCCCTCGTCCGGACTCCGAATCAGTCCCCGTTTGATCCCAGGCGCTCGTAGTCTCGTCCTATTTCTTTTCATGACAAGATTGCATGATTCTTTTTCCATAAAGTGAGTTAGAAATCCATTCTTCTTCAGGTCATGCCCGAGTTTCTTCTCCCGAATCGTCAATTGATCTCTGATTGATTTGAAACTTGCGCCTATGCTTCACTTTATGTGCTAGGACCTGAAATGTGACAAAGGAACACAACCTAGCATAAAATAGGACAAAGACGCAATAATTGAAGCTCAAACAACCAAGAAACAAAGGGGAAAACATGTGCAAATACCGAGTCATCAAATCCCCCCACACTTAACTGTTTGCTTGTCCCCAAGTAAACCTAACTCAAACCAATGCAGCTCTCCATACCTCTATAGCAACAAAAAACCCCGATCGTCGGTAGAGGATTTCCTAGATCATATAGCAGCTTACGAGGTCAACTGGTCTTCTAAGACGTCCCCTATCTCTCTCAATGCGAGTACTAGACTCAAGCCAGGATCATGAGAAGAAGTGGAAGTAAGACAGCCAGTTCATGGAAAAAGGGACTCACACCATTCACAACCAAGGACTCGTTGTACCGGGGCGCTCTTTCACTTCATTTCACCGTTGGAACCCCTTTTTGCACTTTCATTTACATTTCTTTTTCTCTTTTTTTCTTCTTTCACTTGGCGGGGGTTCCAACTGTAGTCTTTTGCACGGTCGACCCTTATTAGTCGAGCAAGAGCAATTTTTGTACATCTGGCGCTCGCCAGAGTACTTCTTTTAACTCCTTTTCCTCAACTCGTGTGGAGGGTCAATGAAATTAAGGGGGGTCGGAAGCTCTATCTGTGCCCTTAAAAACACATCCTCAAGTAGGCAAACCGTTCAACTGGTGAAAATTTTACTTGTACTAAAGACAGCTTAGCTTCACCTTGTAGGAGTACCCCACTAAGGATCACTAAAATCTCTTCCAAAACCCGATTTTGTGCAATGAGCGGTGCCACACACGTTGGGCTTACCCTATGTTTAAGATTTCAATGATTTCGACATGGAGGACCAACTGCTTCCCATTTTCCATATGAGCACCCTGTTCGATACACGAGTCCATAACACAATCCAAATAGAGTCACCATTACCACATGAATTCAACGGTCTTAGCTCCACTAATTCACAAAATCAACTGGCACAACAGAGAGCTAGATAGGAAAAATCTTATACTTCAACATCCTCCATAGTGCTACACTACCTCCCTAGGTTGCACATTACTATAGAGAAGTCGATTCAAAGCATACTGAGCAGGCAATTTGCAAGGAAACACGTACTTGGAGCCCTCAAATTTAAAAATTTGGACAGTGGACTAGGCTCCAAGCATACAAACAGCCAAACATTCACCCGCATACATAATCGAACACCCCCCACACTTAAGCACGACATTGTCCTCAATGGAGGAAAGATAAGGAGGGTAGAACGAAGTTACCAGATCAAGGGTGAATGATGATGGACGGGTCAGACGGTGCATTCCAGGAAGAGAGAGTAATTAGAACGCAAACACCACACAAAATCTCACAAAGGTTGAGTTATTAACTCTAAAATCAAATAACAAAACTGACTCAACCGAGGAAAAATAGAGAAAGAAATGCAAACCGACTGGTTGGGTTGCCTCCCAACAAGCGCTTCTTTCACGTTGTGAGCCGGACGATGGCTCCTAAGTTTCGGTCCATGCTAGAACCTCCTTGAAGTTGAGGTTCTCGTCAATGAGGTGGAGTCGCAAGTCACGAGCATGTGGTATGACTGGTGATGGAAGCTCGTGCACTTGATGCAGATGAAGTCTCCATCCTCGAGACCTCTTCTTCTCTTCTCTCGTCTCATTGCCCCAAACCATATATGACAACATCGATTGACCACCATCACGTCCACCAAGAGGGACCGATGTCGATGTGGCCTTGGTCTGGCAAAGAGACACTGTAAATGGGTCCTTGCTAAGCAGTTCCTTGAAGTTTGGTGGGGATATTACTTGTATTATAGGGCCGGTGCAAGCCTCTTCCACCTCAACTTCATCCTCAGCCTGGACACCACTCGCTTCTTCAACCCCCCTTCCTTCTTCAAAATGTGCTCTCTCTCCTCGGAAAAGATCAAGAACTACCTCTTCTTTGCTTTCTTCCTCATCCTCCACAACTTCTTTCCTCACCCTTTCTCTCTCTTCTTCTTCCATAACTTATTGGAGAGCAAGTCTCCATGCAAGGTTCTCAATAAGTTCATATTACATCTCCTCGCTCGGGCCCAGCATGTCAGAGCGGAAATGGGGAAAGTTGTGATCTACCACCAGAGGATACACTTGATCATGATTATCATGGGAGCTTTCTTTGACAACTTCTGTATGCTCCTCAACATCCTCACGATTGCCTTCTTCTTCCTCCACCTCTACTTGTATGGCAGCATAAAGGTTGTCTTGAGAAAACTGTGAACAGGCTTTCTCAATGACCTCTATGTGATTCTTTATGCTCCGAAGGGTATCCTCTGTTTCACGGGGAAAGGAGAAGTCAGTTTGGGCAATGGCCTGGATATGAGGATCCATCTCGGGAAAGGATCTCTCAGGTACTCGAGCAATCTGCTCCACTAGAAGCCTCAAGTGATAGTTTGGATCTGGCTATGGAGTGTAGCATGGCTCTGCCGGTTCGCCCGTGAAGGCTGTGGCGAACTCAAGATCTGATGGCCCTTCTTGTTGCGGGAGGAATTCTTCTTGATAAGGAGATTGTTCTTGAAATACCCAGGGGTCTGATTGTTCTTCGTAGTAGGGGGGTTGGTACTGAAACCCGAATCCATAGTCTTCTCCTCCTTGGTTACTCCAGGGAGTCTCGGGGTAATACCACTCGGATGGTGGTGGATACCCCCAATGAATGGAGAAGCCATGAGGGTCCATGATTCAGATCTGCACCAACAAAAACAAAAAACACCCAAGCGAAAAGCAAGGGTGGAAAACAAAAGAAAAACGCTAAAGTAACAAACTTCTGCCTTCCCTAATAATCTAGAAAGTCCCCGGCAACGGCGCCAAAAACTTGACACGCCAAAACACAACACCAAACTGCGACCAAGTGCAATCGCAGTCCGGGAATGCAGTAAAGTGGCAAGTTCTATTATCAACCCGGGGTCTAGATCTACTGCTTACTCCGTGCTTATCTATTATCTAGCCAACTAAGTCAAGTGATTGTTGTTTTAAGCAAAAGCAGTAAGAAAGCAGGAATTGTTTTGGTTTTCTCAAGCAAAGAAGAGTCACTCGGTCGTGAGTCCCCCTAGCTCCTTAGTTAGGTCTCATTACAATTACCCTAGGTTGATTTACTGTTGATTAGACTGCGGAAGATCCGACAGTAGCTTGGAATCTCTTAAGCTGACCAAGCCCTCTCAGTCTAACTACCCGGCAGACGACTAGTCTTCACCGGGATAGAAAGCTGAAGCAATAAGCACAGAACTCCACTACTGGAATTGGATTCCAGTACAAAGAAGTAAAATGGCTAACTCTCGTATAACCAATTCACCAACATCAATCAAGGAAGCTCTCTTAACCTAATCAGATTCTATCTATCATAGGTTAAAGCAGAAATCAAGAGAATTTGATCAAGATTCAATTGACTCAATAAATCATGCCTCAATCGATTATAATAAAACAATATAACATCCAAAACTTCATACAAGAAAGATCCTAACATATGGAACTAGGGTTCCTCAAAACCTAAGTGAATGGAAGTTACTCCATAGAGAAGAGAGAGACTGCAGAAATCTGATCTAGATCTTCAATCTCCATCTCCAAGCTTGATTCCCGAGCTCCAATGGCAAAGAAATCCTCCAAAATAGCTCCAAGAATGTTCCCAAGTCGCTCTCTCTCTCTCTCTCTCTCTAGGGTTCGTCCTTTGGGTGTTTGGGAACCAAAAACCCAGCTCTCCCCTTTCCTTTGGCTGAAAATCGAGTTTTAAACAGAAATTCCCGATCACTCGGCCAAACCACACGGCCGTGTGGCTTTCCCAGCTGCCCGTGTGAAGGCTCGGTGATTTCCACACGGCCACGACCCACACGGCCGTGTGGAGTTCCAGGATGCCCGTGTGGCTTGCTCAGCCTCTGTTTAATGCTTCGTTTCTCCCTCGTCCGGACTACGAATCAATCCCCGTTTGATCCCAGAAGCTCGTAGTCTCGTCCTCTTTCTTTTCATGACAAGCTTGTATGATTCTTTGTCCATAAAGTGAGGTAGAAATCCATTCTTCTTCAGGTCATGCCCGAGTTTCTTCTCCCGAATCGTCAATTGATCTCTGATTGATTTGAAACTTGCGCCTATGCTTCACTTTATGTGCTAGGACCTGAAATGTGACAAAAGAACACAACCTAGCATAAAATAGGACAAAGACGCAATAATTCAAGCTCAAACAATCAAGAAACAAAGGGGAAAACATGTGCAAATACCGAGTCATCACCTCCAACACACCAAATCATGCCACCTTGCTGCCACATCATATTTAAAATAAAATAAAAATTATCATTTCAAAATTATTTCTTTTTTCACTTTTCTCATCGGGCTCTCCTTCTTCCATCTCGTCCCTTTCCCACCGACGACCCCATCGTCCCCCATCGGCGGCGGCGGAGCTTCTCCCTTGCTTAGCTTCCACGTGATTGTTTCCCTTGTCACCGCCGGCCTCTCCAATTTAAGACATTGCAACTGCTAAGCTAATCTCTTGCTAACCTCAACAAACCTTAATTGAGCTACAAATCTCCATCTCATTTCCGATTTTGACGAGTTTGAAACTAGGTCCATCTTCCCCTCTTTTCTTCCTGCAGAAGAAGCTCGATGAAGATGAGCCGCCGTCGCCATTCTTTCGCCGCCTTTGCTTTCCCTTCTCCTTTTCAAATGAGAGGCATGGTTAATTACAGAAGGGATGGGGAAACTAGTTCCCGACGACAACGACGGTGACCCATTAAAGGATGATGTCATACGGGGTGACATTGGCGACGGCCGTAGGAGCGACAATCGTCTTGGAGAAGAGGGAGAGCAATAGAAGGAGAGAGTGGGGTCGAAGATCTCACCCAGATTTCGCCAGCTAGATCTCAACCACAACATCTACTAAGAATCCCTAGAACAACCACAACCACTCTGATGTGCTATACAGTTCGGAATCGTCAATCTGACAATCGCCGACCCGCATCTGCTGGGAGAGAGATCTGGGAATCGCTGACCCACTCCTCCTCCTTCCGCCACCCACCCCTTATATCTCTGTTCTCGCCTTCCCGAGCTTCCTGAGAATTTTTGAATTGGGGAATTTTTGTTCCATTGGGTTTGTATATTGGGTATTTGCGAAGAAGAGTATGTCATGGCATGGGTTTGTATATTGAGGGTTTATTCCATTGGGTTTGTATATTGAGGCGGCGACGGGGAGGGATGCCATGGTAGGGAAGGTGAGGCGGCGACGGGAAGGGATGCTATGGCAGGGAAGGAGTTGAAGTCTGTTTTTATTATTTTAAATTTTTTCCATTTAATATTATAATAAAATAAGTCATTTCCAACTTGACAAGATCAAGATGAAAAGTCAGCCACATCAGCAAATGACATTAGTATTGTCAGCATGTATCATTGTTCCGTTAAACTTATGGACGGAATGGCTATTTTAGTGTATTATTCAAAATTTGGCTATATTTATCAAAACGTGGATAGTTATGGCTATGCAAGTGTATTAAACCTTGTTTATTTACTAGTTTACTATTTGTTTAACCCATATATTTGTGGTATAATATGGTACTACTCTAGTACGATAGTTTATTTTTGTAGGTACAGTTTTTGGAGAAAACCATAGTCGTAACACAAAATACCCTACTAGAGACTTATCCGGTACCTCCGATATAGTTTTATAAACCATTATTTTTAGAAGTTGTTCAATTTGTATGCAAAACATCCTTTATTTATAAAGGTCACAAAACATAAATCTAACTACTAAGTGTATGCAAACAATTTCTAAACGAACTAGGAAACATAATAACTCAATTTTAATGCTTAAAATAAGCTTTTTGAAGCTAAGTAATCTCTAGCTCATTTTTTTAGACTCTAACTCAATTTTAATACTAAAGGAAGCTTGTTATCAGCTAAGCAGTCTCCTTTCCTTCAAATTTTCATGCAAGGACAACTTAGGTGGTAAATATGGATAACTTGGGCATCAATAATGTACTTCATTGGACTATTTTGGTTTGTCTTTCTCATTTTAAACGTGGATTATATTGACCTCTTGGCCCATAAATGAGTCAAACACCAAAGATAATAAATAATCTGCCAAATAAGTTTCTAATTAAGCTTTGAATGCTTTCGTCTAACTTTGAGTTACTAGACCTTTCTTTTCAGCAGCATCTACACCAATGTTGGAGTTGAAGCAGGTTGAGTAGTTTTTATTGCTTTGGTGTCGATATCTTTATCAGACGGGCAGTGGCGTAGCCAGGATTTTGGGTAAGGGGGTGCCAACTTAAAAAAATTAAAGCGACTATCAATTTTTAAGAGTGGCCCATGACGAATTCTCATAGTTTGAAAACTCTGTAAAATACATTCATCTTCCAGACTATCAAGAATGTCACTCTCAATGTATCCTACCAAAAAATCATTCATGATATCGTCACTCATTCCACTCCGAAGAGTGTTTTCACGTAGTTCATTGACGAAAGGGAAAGAAGAATGAAGGAAGATGAAAAGTGGGACTAGGAGAAGTCTTGCTTGTTAGGGCTAACGTTCCGATTACTGCTTGAATAAGGATACAATTATGAGTTTTTTTAATTTACTTATTATTTGTAAACGTAAATTAATTATATATATACAATAAAACGTATTGGTGTATCACATAAGTAATTGTAGTTTAATGGAAGATGACAAAGCTAATAATATGGGGGTTCTATGTTCAAATCGTAGTTATAGCATAAACTAATACCCCTGTTTTTTGATGTTCTAGTCCCAATCCAAGGGTGTGCTATGGAACACCCTATTTACATGCTACCTCCGCCCCTGCAGACGGGACATCACGGTGTCAGTTAGAAGTAGTGCTCAAGCCTTGTTGCACATTACTACGGGTAGGGTAAACTTGTTCCAAATAAATCAAGACATGTCTGAGCTCGGGTGAGGTCATAATATTTCCATCATTAATTCAAACCCTGCTTTGACAATTTTGGTAGTTTTGCCTTTTTTTAGTTTTACACTAAATGTCAATTCAGTAATCTTGTGTTTTTTCCAGGATTACTCTAGATGTCAATTAAGTATTTAATCTTCATATTAATTTCCTATGTCATGGTAGAAAAGCCTTATATGTCCTTTAATCTCACTTTAAAGCAACAAAGTTTTTTACTTGTAAATTAAAAATTGAAAATTTCATAACTTATTTAATCCCAAATTAATGTAACTAAGTTTTTAAACTTGTCAATTAATATTTTCAAATTTATTTATTTAATTTAAAAATTAAGATATTATAAAATAATATTTTTCATTGATATAAAATCATTTGCACATAAATTTATTATTTTTTTGTTAGTAATTTTTAATCATGTATATTAGACAAAATATCATGCAAAAAGTTTAGTTTACCCTAAATTCTTTTTGGAAGGTTTCAAAAATATCCAAAGACTTCTTTCACAAATATAATAGAAATATAAAATTAATTTGTTTATATCATCATACCGTTGATTTGTTGTTTTGCCTTTATGCGATAATGTGTTGAGTCAAATTCGAGCCATTACCACTTAAATCTTGGCTCTGACTCTAGAAGTGTGGATGTATAAAGCCTGGTGAACATTGTTTGGTCCACTACTAGTATAACGATAAATAATTAGGTAGGATAAAATGGACTTTAGCTAGCAACTCATCCCAGTGATTCATTTGTGTTGTCTTAAATTGAGTACCGGCTAGGCACGAGCTCTGTTATATATGCTCGTAGCCTCTTATTTTTGAATCCGACGATTGATTTATTGTATTCTTGAGAAGTTTAACCGCTCTATTAAACTTTGGGATTCTACAATAGCTCATGTTAAGACAAAGTTGTGTCAAATACTTCTATAAAATTCAATAAATAAAAGATAAATAGTATTTTTATAACATATATGCAGACATTTCAATTTAGAACTTCTTGGAAAAGTTAATTTAAAAATCCAAATTATGTTTATAGTTTTTTTAGAACATAAAATTTCCTTTCAGTTGAATCATTTTAAAACTAAAAATAATCAAGAATTAGAATTAATATATATATATATATGGCGAGTTCTACGGTACCCTGGGTAAAATCCGTGGGGAGTTCTACGGTACCCATGGTGAAATCCGAGGTACCACATACCTTGAGTAAAAAAAGCTATCTAGAACTTGAATTGACTGATCTTTCGGACATGATACTATACTCTAATCCAACAAGATCTATTTTAGCTACTTTTTATATTTTAAAAATAATCATAATAGTGTATCAACCAAACATTCCAATACTTTTTAAATTACCTTTTAAAAGTTCCAAACGGCTTTTACAACAATCTCTTTATTTTCTACATAGGTCAGCCCTAACAAGAAGCCTAATTGGTCTATGGCACGGTTCTAAAATTGCACTGGAGGTGATAACGAAAAATTTAGTGTTATGGGGTTTTCTGCTGAAATTGTGATTTAACTGTGGTTCAATTGTATACCACTAAAAGCTCATACTACTTTAAACTCCAATAAGAGGTATTTTTATCAGACCACCGATACATAGGGGTGGGCATGAGGTGAGTAATCCGTGGTTTGACATCAACCCACTCGCAAATAACCCAATCCGCAGTGGATGGCTGATTGATTCGAGTCCAATTGCACACATTTTATCCTCATATTCTTTAGATGTTTGAGGCTTTTTCACTTCGTGAGGTTCAGTTTTACGCTAGGTTGTGCTTGTTCCTAGTGTGTTTAAGATCCTAGCAGGTGGAATCGACCTTGGGAAGGAAAGTTGGACGAAAAGGGGCAAAAACGGATCGAAGAGAGGAAGCAACTGAGGATCACGGTGAGCTTAATTTTCACGGCATCTACACCATAATAATGGAGCCCAAACCGTGAGGAGGAGAGGAACCAGAACATTCTGCGCGCCTCGCGGGCCTAAATAAAATCACGGTCACTCGACCATGATAATTCCCTCAAGACCGTGAAGAGCTTAAGTGAAATGGCGTGTTTTTGTCTAGGATCACAGTTTAGGCTTAGAGTTAATGGACGTGAAATGGGAGCGTGAAAGCCGTTGATCTGTGTATAAAAGGGTAGTTGAGATGAAAAAAGAAAAGTGACGAACAAGAGAGGAGAAGAAGGTTTGGGTTTCATTCAAGCTCCAAGATTTAGGAATCTCATCCTCTAAGGATGATCTCCACACTAAAGGAGGTATTTTCTCTTCTCCTTTATGTATTCCCACATCTTAGCATGAAGTAGTGCCCTTCTTTCACTTAGGTGTTTGTGAACCCTAGCTAGTATCATGTGAATGTTTGTATGGATTGAATGACTTGTCTGTGGTTGTTTTTTAATGCAAGTATTGAGGTATTTTCATGAAGGTTGTGCCGAGTTTTTCATTTCGAACTCTTATGCCCATTTGACCTAGGTAGAGGGATATCCCCTTCTTGCTAAGAGGCTTTCAAAAGCTAGAATTCATTGGCCAAATTGAGCCACCTACTTAGGCCGAATTAGGGAAAACCTCATACTATGTTTTAGCACCACAGGTAGGTTGTATTTTGGCCATCAAACTATGGTTCAAGGGAGAAGTCTAGGCAACCCTTAGTCGATTGGCAAAGAGAGCTAATTTGATAGCCTGATTTGACATCCGTGGCCTAACGACTGAGAGAGTGAAGCTTCTTCACTTGTTCGCTTCTCTACGGTTACAACCACTTATACCACAAACTTGCATTTGATTCGACTAATCTTGATAACTAGCTAGGGGGAGCAACACCCGGGTGAAGCCTTCTCATTTAGTGTTCAAAACCATTTACCTTGCCAATTGCTATTAATCATAGTCCATAGTTTTAACCAAAAATCGATTGCTAGATAATGTTTCAAACAGTTGAAGTAGGGGTAAATGGACTGGGCCGGGTTTGACATTTAAAACATACTTGTCGTGTACTGCAACCGGCTAAAGTTTATACTTGGACCTTAGTCGGGATTTAAATCGTGGTATTCTGGACGAGTCAGTGATTGATGTGGGTAGATTGTGGGTCAATAAACCTCCCACAAACACTTATCAATTGGGTGATGGGTGAGTTGCAAGGCACTCAATGACCTGCAACCCTTTTTACCCGAAAAGTAGTTGTTTCTTATTTATACCAACGAATAGTCATCGTATTTCTCAACCGACACTACACATTAACCATCGACTTCTAAAGGCGGAAAATAAAGGATATTTTGGGCTACTATTGGTCACTTTGTTGTGTAATGTCCATTAGATATTGAGATGTAAATTATCAACTATTAATTATATCTAAATCGCTAAAAAAATGTGAACTTTCTCTACATAATAGGTTGATGAAGTAATGAAAGATTGGATACAAGTAGTACACAAATCGAAGGGGAACAAATTGGCGGGCGGTGTCTAAATTGATGCAATCTTACTAATTCGCGAAGAATTTATTATATATGTTAGTCAACTTTCCTAATTACTAGTTGAAGAATTTCATTTGCGGGTTAACCCACAACTCAACTGCAGCCATCCACCACCTACCCAACCCAACCCGAAGTAGTGTGTGGGTGGATTGTGGGTCGAAATTGTACCAACTAGTTACTAAGTGGGTAGGTCAGTTTAAGACTGCAACCCACCCAACCCCCCCATTGGCCATCCGATTCAATACTATTCACAAACACTGATTTACTGTTTTCGCTTTGACATTTTGTAATTCAATAATCTATTACTATACAACCGTAGTTATTAAACAAGATTTTGACATTTTACTTATCATTATCGTATGAGACCATTAATAAAATATAACTTGTACGGCATAATTTCAAGAATGGCAAGAAAAATTACGAGATGACGTGGGAGAGAATTCGTAGTAATACGCACTTGTTGGCTAATAAAGTTTCAAATTAGGGGATGGCAATATACATATTTGGAAATCAACAAATGTTATTTAGAGAATTTAGGAAGTTTTTGCATTTAAAATGCAAAATAAGAAAGAGAAAAAACTGAAATAATTTAGCATTTGATTTCGTTGGTTCTTATGTCACTTTCACCATTTAAATGGAGAGCGAGAAAGAGATAAGTAAGAATTCAAAACCAAATACAAACAAAAAGTTTGATTTCAAGATAACAAAAATGTTTAAAGAATAATAACACATGTTAGAAGATTTCTCCATGATTTTCCTATTGAGCTTGAGTAGAAGAGACAACTAACACCCTATTGTTGAAGGAAATGAAGAAATGGGAGAGAGGAAATTTTGGAGGTAGGGAACATGTTGTTTTATGGAGGAAAGTGAAAGGAAAAGTGGTAAGGAAAAAATAAAATGTGAAGTATGATAGATATAGTATTTTATTGGTTATGTATTTGTAAAACTATTTAATTATATGTTGATATTATTTTAATTACATATGAATAGTGAATAAAAATTATTTGGTTCATTATTAAAAAAAATTCTAGATTTAAAATCACGTTCATTTGAACTCTACTAAAAAAAATCATACAAATTGGACTACCTCTGTTATACAAAATAAATTCATTTTTTAAAAATTTCACACTCAAATGTCGTTTTACTTGAAATAATAACACACTTTTATCATTATATCTCATGTAATATTTTTATAAGATGACGTTTTGTGTGACGTAAAATAACGTTAACGCAATTAATTCCTTACCCCAAATTTGAAAAGGAAAAATAAAAATTAGTGAAATCATTAAGCAAAAGGAAGAGAGGTAAAAGGAAAGAAAACACACAAAAAAGGCAGACGACGTTCTCTCCAAAATCGGAGATGTGTGGAATAGTGGATTTTCCACTCCATTTTCTTTCCTTCCTCCTTATAGCTGCCTCTAAAAAACAATATGAAGTGTATTGGGAATGAAGTTTCTCCCCATAACTTTCCTTTTCTTCTTTTTCCCTCATAGAAAAACGGAATGTAAAGATGTAAAATCAAATAGGCAAATGCTAACAAATAGATCGGCGAGAAAGAGATAAGTAAGAATGCAAAATCAAATACGAACAAAAAGGCGATTTCAACACAACAACAACAACAACACGTTAAAAAAGAATGGTAGCCCATGTTAGAAGATTTATCTGTGATTTTTTATTTGAGATTGAGCGATAAATGACCAAAGATGTTGAATTAAACAGGCAAATACGAATAAATATATCGATTTCATCATCACAACAACCAAAAAATAATATGTGGAGAAAGAAAATTAGGAATAAAAGAATTTTTTTAGTAATATCGAGATAGGAAATTACAGATAAAAGAAAATGGAGAAAGTAGAAAGAAAAAAGATAATTTGAAGAGGGAAAAAGGAGATGAATAGATGAGACTCATTCTAATAGACTATTGCCCCTGGAGTTGTGTGTTATATAATTGTTGATATATAAAAGCCTTAGTTCTAGGATTACTATTTATTAAGTGAATTGTATAAGGTGTCCTAATTAAAAAATTTTGTAACAACTCAAGTTATTGATGTTAACTAGTTTTTGACATGACATCAGGTCTGGTTTGATCAAATTCTCACATGTACAAATATTTTAAAACTCAATATTAAAATTCTATTCAAGCATGAAGTAAATGGTGATCCTATACAAACTTTAAGACCATGAATTAATTTTGATTTAAGTTGATCTCTCAACAGTTATTGGAATCAACTTACACTTTTTTCCAAATTTTTTTACAATGCGTAGCAAAACATTCAGCGAACGGAATTTATCTAACGGTTATACAAAGTACAAATCTAGTGGTATTTACAAATCTAATGGTTACAACATGAAGAAGAAGAAGAAGAAGAAGAAGAAGAAGAATAGAGCTAACCACCGAGTAAGTACCGACTAAAGATATGATAGATTAGCAGCATTGGTTTGATCGTTTACTTGGAGCGGAAGTAGGAGGCTGTACTCCTCCCACCGACTTGGGGAGCATACTCATCACTGCCACAACCATCCCTCCTCCGTCTTCTTCATCATCATACTCCGTGGATGCTGATGGTGGTAACGTGAACGCAGTGAACTGCTGCCTGTAGGTAGCCAGCGACAGAGATAACATAGAGACGATGATGAGCATGACCATTACAATGATTTGAAGTGGCTTCATCATCATCATACTGTAACTGAATTATTTGGACTAACAAAGAGAGAGGGAGATATGGTTTCGGAGTAGAGTCAAAATTGAGAAGGTAAGAGTCAAAATTGAGAGCGGAAGGACATAAAACGGAAATAAAATCTTCAATGAGGTAGTTGAGTGTTGGCTGAACAAACTGGAAACCGGGTTAAAGGCACATGAAGTAAGTATTAGTTGTCAGGTCTGCATGCCTCATGGGGAAGCGAAATTGCTTTGCGCCAACAACTTCCTTCTCTTAATCTATAAAACGGTCATTGGTTTGGCCAATGCATGAAGAGGGCGAAATGCCACATTATTTAACTTGACACTTGCCAATTTTGCATGTGTGTGTTAAAGACAAGTACCTTCCACCTCAGTTAATTCATGTATCCGTTATATTTTGAGGTAAAGCAGTATACACAGACTATGATGGATTTTTATAGAAAAAAAACTATATATTGATTGTGATATATTAGTAAGTATTCTATTTTTACTAAAATACTTTCAAGATTTGTTAAAAAAATCCGTCAAAAGAAACTCGAAATAGAAAAATTGTAGCATTCTAACCTGTCTAGGCACTACTTTTACTAAAATAACCTTATCAATCCATTGACCATTAAAAGAGTCTTAAAACTTTGAAAAAGAGTGGAAATTTTTTCTTCTTAAATATCCTTAATAAATTTATTAAAAATTTCATAAACGAAAATAATAAACATCTTTAATAATGTGAATCAAATCTCAAGTATCATTAGTTACCAAACTTAACTAACTTCATACTGGAATCGTCCTGATGAGTGTGAGTATTAGTCATATGCTCTAGGTTCATTTTACAAAGAAGTAACTTAGTATACTTAAAATGCACATGCTCATGCAATGCTTATGTGGTATTAAACTAAGTTTTCTTGGAACTTTTTTTTTTAAATGATGCTCTAAGCAACTTAATCAACACACTACCATAAATAAAAACAAACTTAATTATTTATAAACGGAATTTTCTCATGTGCAAAATATCACACACTCTATGTGGTGCTGATACATCAACATACTTAATCATAACCTCCTCATTACCCTAGAGTTGGATTCGTAACATTCTTATTACTCAGAAGTGTAGTTCGTACATTAGATACTCCGTCACTATAGAAACTAGAAAGTGAGGTGACAATGGGTTGGTAGCAAAGTGAGGATTAAAACGTGATCTTACTTATAAATCAACTGAGAATACTTGCTTAAATTGATCTTCCACGTAATGGGAAGATATAAGCTAGTGTACTTAAAATGTAACTTGGATTCTTTTGTCTTGAAAAATAACTTTGTCATGCAATGCAATGATTTGTGAAATGTAAGAACTGAAAATAATAAACTTAAGGATTTTGCTATGGTGACATGCATGTCACCATGACATGGACTTTTCGGTCGACCTAATCCTAAAGGCGGTCGACCGAATTGACTAATTTGGGCAGCATGAGAAAGCATTGCGGTCGACCTAATCCTAAAGGCGGTCGACCTCAATTCATAGCATAATTGATGAGTCCTTGTTATCATTATTTATGACTAGTTATGATGGTTTAAAGCGTAATTTAGACGAGCAAAAGAACCACACAAATCGACATACATAAGCAAAAAGACACGGGGCATAAGTTGACTTTCTTGTATTCGGTCAACCTCGTACCGGATTAGGTCGACCTCGACACCAACACTTGATCTTCATTTTACGTCAAATGATCGGATAAATTGATAGAACACTTATCGTCTATCTGGTCGACCTCTTTCTTTATCTGGTCGACCATATTGTTAATGACTGCCATCAAGTGGTCGACCTATATACCTTTACGGTCGACCATGTTGTTTCTGACGCCAACGAAATGGCCGACCGAGGTTTATTCTGGTCAACCAAAAATAACAACTTAAACTAAGAACGGTCGACCAAGTGGTCTTTGAGGTCGACCACAATGCTTTCTCGTGCTGTCCAAATTAGTCAATTCGGTCGACCGCCTTCAGGATTAGGTCGACCGAAAAGTCCATGTCACGGTGACATGCATGTCATAGTAGGCATACCCTAAACTTAAACTAGTTTATATATTGAAGACAACCTAATTAAATAAATTTAAGTGAATTGCTAAGAAGACCAAATATACCTTTCTATACCACCCTATATGGTGATGAAAAGTGATAAATGACGGTTAGTAATAAATCTTTCTTTTTTATTTCAAAATATATCAAAGTAGATGTCATTTTAAATAGCAAAATTATATCTAATTTATTTGTGCCATTTTTTTGAGATTATGACGTAAAATGAAAGATATATAACCTATTTAAATTAATTGTGAAACATTAGTTACGATTCATAAATAATAAGTTTAGAGTCATGCATGGTTACTAACAATAAGGTTATTGGTTGGATCCTCTCCCATTTCATATGGCTTTTTCGTGTGTTATAATAACATTTTATCTTGTACACTTATTGAAACATATGGCGAATTTGTTGTAGTACACTCAACACATTACATGTCCCCCATCATCACTAACACCATCTACCTTCAACCAACAGAGAGAAAAACGAAGGGGAAAGGAAAAAAAATATTGTTGGATCATCGGGATAAACACTATTGACTCTACAAAAATGGATTACATTTTATCTCTAAGCACAAGAGAACTTCTTTCTCTACTTTGAACACTTCTTTCAGAACATTAGTGATCCTATAAAAATGGATAAAAGGAATGGTAGTATCTCTAGTGAGCGTATATAAATAATGCAAAGAATGGAGATGAGAAAGAACACTTTTATCTGAATTTCCTTCAAATTTATCGGATTCTTTTCTGCTAGGTTCTGGCATTTCAGAGGTGAAGCACCAAGAAGAGAAGAAGTGTCATTTTTTTACCCAATAAAAGAAAGAAAGAGGAATGGGTCTTAAAAGTGATGACAAGGTTTCTTTAATGGTGGGAGTGTTACTAATGGTAGTGGTGATGTTGCTTCCTGAGTGCGGAATGGCTGCGAGGGTTGGCATAATTGGTAGGGCCAGAGTAGCCGGATGCCCTCATGGTGTCTTATGTAGCTACGGTCATTTGAATAAGGAGATGGAGAAGAATAATGACATCAATAGAGGAAGGACAAGAAGTACTGATAACGGTGAAAGCAGCAGCACTAGTGAGATGTTGTATGATGATGATCAATATCGTCCAGATTCCATTGGGTATAATGGAGATTATAAAGACTATTACTACAAAAGGTATGGAGATGTTCCAAGTCCTGGTGTTGGTCATTGATCACCACCCTTCCAAGTATCTCCGGACTAAAGTGCACCATCTCCTTGATAAATAAGTAGAAGCAACTTTAGATTTCCTTTAAATAAACATATAATTAAGGTAGCAATAATGTTTAGTGGCTATGTACAAGTTAGACACATCTTGATTCAAATTATAATGTGGGAGTAACGTTCCTCGACAAGGAAATAAAATAGACCTCAAATTCTCTCTCTCTGTTACGAATAACCGAACTCCTATCGCCATTTTAGTGTGACATCTCAATCGCCTCCTTTCGGTGACATTCCTCCATAGTTCTGGCGGTAAGGGTTCTTATTGGGATGGATTGTGCCTTTATATGGGTCCAATTCGACCATGGATATCATCAATTGATTCCCATGGATTTCTTTCGTCCAATCCCCATTTCAATTCATTTTGCTCCATTCTGTCAACGATGTCTGAACTGGTGGTTGTTTTTAGCGATGCAATGATTGTTGCATGTGAAGAGACAGTAAGACTCAACCTCCTCCCTAGAGTCTTCAGCCCTACGTCGTATTTTTGCAGCCTTCAACACTTCCTCGTAGATGTGTGGCAATGAAAGTGCTCCATTACAATCGTTGATGTGTCGTTTGGACTTCATGCAACAAAATGCATATCCTGATTATTGATTGAGTAATAAAATTAAGTAATATTGTCCTCCCACAAGAATTGGTACAACTTCATATTTAATGATAATATCAAGGATCTTAAAAGAACAAAAGTATTTTTATAGCAAACTAAAGGTAAAGTAAGAGAAAAAATATGAAATTAACTTGGATAACAATCAATGGAGAGATGTTCTGGGGAAAGACGACATGGAATTCACTGCCTCATTACCTACGTTATCTCTTAAGTGATAGTTATCTCTCTCAAAAATCACTATGTAGTAACTAGCCAATTAATTGTTTACTCTTGTACAACAAATTAATTAACTACCTAACCTGAAGTCCGATAACTCCTCTAATGATCACACAACTCCCGCTTTCCGCTCTCATGCTCAATTGGGCGTTCTATCCTAGATATCTTCTCTCAGTCTCAATCTTGAACAACAAATCGATATGCAAGTGGCCAGTCTACACAAAGAATTAAGAATCCATACACAATATGAATGGGAAAACAATATGAATTAAATCAAAGAAATTCAGTAGCTACAACCTACTATCTTCCCCAGAAATTAGGATTTAGTTCGTAATCATGGAGCACAAACTAACAAATAATTCTAGCTTCAGCATATTGAGACGCTTAGCCAAAGTTTGTGGGGAAGTGAACTAACTTGGAGGAGCCTCTTGTTCCGAAGGTCTGGGTGGCGAATGCTTGGACAAGAATTGTATATGAAGGCCTTCCACTAATATGTTCCGATTGTGGAAGGGCCCTCTAAAACAAGATGCAGGTTCACGATATAACTTCAAACATCTTCCCCTACTCAGGAAGGTGCTTCTTCGCACACTAGTGAGAAACCATCACTCCCACAATAACACATGGAAAAATCTTCTACAGATCAAGATGTGGTAGCCGTTGCATCAAAGTCGGGCTACAATCCACCACCATTTTTTGGAGACTGGATGGTCACAACTAGGAGACGACGTCCACGACAAGTTCGAACAGAAAAAACAGGGAAGATGATGGGTTCTAAGAATAGAAGTAAATCGGCAACATTAGGTAACTCATTCTCACCACTGGCCTCTTCGAATCCATCAGGCTATCCACAGCCTGCTGTGAGACACCACAAAAGTTCGGCAACTACCACAATCCCCCCAACACCAACCCCCCACCCCCAAAATGCTTAAGTATCATCTCCGGCTTCCAGCGATGTTGTCGGAACCACAACGTCAATCACTGAGACTAGTGTAATTAAAGAGCATGTCCCGCCCACTTAGTGGAGGATCTAGAAATTTTATATAGGAGTGTCCCTTTCAAAATTTAAATTTAATTAAAAAAAAATAAGAAAATATCCAACTAGTACAAGTTACCACAAATTCTACAACGTGTTATCATATTTGGGAAAAAAATGTACAGGACACTCACTATCTTCAGTGCTCAATAAATCTCTTTCAATATATCCTACTAGACACTCATTCACAAACTGTTCACTTATTTGATCACAAAACTTGTTTTTTATGTAACCCAAAGCTGAAAAAACTCCCACAACACTGGGAATTGCAACCGGTAAAAGTCAATACTAATTTTGAGAAGTAAATAGACTCATGATCATAGATATGATAGAACAACTTTGTCTCCAACATCAACTCAAATAATTCATCAGCTCCATTTAATCAACAAAATAACTCATCATTTTTAACACAATGATAATAATTCTAAAAAATCATATAGAAGAAAAAATTCTTAAAGGTGATGAAACTCTTCAGGATAAAATCATGTCTTACAATACAGTGGGAATAAGGGTTAGTTTGTGGGTTCAATTTTGGGCTTTGGAAACGTTAGAGATAAGGGCTACACGTTTACAATTACATTTAGGATAAATTAAAATAAACGAAGTGTAGCCAATATAAACGATGCTCACTAATAACTATTATGTTATAGATTCGAATCACATATATTATCATTTATTTTCCCCCTTTTTTCCATACTCAAACTATTATTAGGGTTCCTAAATTTTTAGGGTGTCCTAGGACATCCCACCCTCTACATGGGTCCGCCCCTGCGCCCACTCCACTTGCATGCCAATATCTGCAACCATTGTCAGGCATCAACTCTCCAACATGAGAACTTATTGTGGCTTCCCTCCCCCACACCTCTCCTCCAATCTTGTCGGGTCAACCGAAGGGTTCCAACGAGCCAAATCTTAATCCTAGCCAACCCTACTCATACACGATTCTCAATCCAGCCATTACCCAACTAACTAATGGGCTTGATGAAATGGCAACTGCAAGGCCCATGTCCATAACAATGAGAAAATCTTCCAACGAGTTGACGAAACCAGCTCCGCGGAAGCATCGCAGTCGAAGCCCGTCCAGGGCCCTCCTATAGTCTTCTTCGTAAGAGCAACCCACTGTTACCCAGCCGTTCTTTCTCTCTAAATAAGTTATGGACTTGTCCATTTTATCTTGGAATGTGAGGGGAGCAAGGAATAAGTTATTTGATCGCACTCTCAAGGACTTTGTGAGAAATAGAAAAATTGATGTGGCTTTCCTTCTTGAACTCAAAATTAGCAAGGAGAGAGCTGCTGAAATAGTGACACACCTACCATTTTCAAAATCTTTTAGAGTCGAAATTGTTGGAAGGGCGGGCGGAATTTGGATGCTTTGGAATGAAAATTGGTTTATTTGTACAGTTTTGGATTCGACAAGCCAAGTTCTCCATGTGTTGGTCGAATCCCCGAGGAAGCCTAGATGGATGTTATTAGCAGTTTACACAAATCCGTCACCTAGCAGAAGAAAAATCTTTTGGCGCCAAATCTAGAACTTTGCGAGTGAGAATCACCTCCCTTGGCTTCTCATTGGAGATTGGAACGAAGTTGTCGGTCCAAGTAAAATTAAAGGAGGAGCTCCAAGCAATTCAAATCGTATCTTCAATATGCATACTAAGATGAGCAGATGCGGGTCCCTTGACATTGGATTTCAAGGCCCACAATTTACTTAGTACAGGAACGATACTAGATTTGGCATCCTCCAGGTGCGTTTGGAAAGAGCATTGGCCAATGTTGAAAGGGATATTGCTTTTTCCAGAATTATCAATTTTGCACCTTCCAAGGACGTACTCAAATCACTTCCCAGTTCTCTTGAACACCCAAGGATTATCTAATTCTCTGCAGGTACGCCCTTTTCGTATAGAAGCCATGTGGTTATCGGATGAGAACTACTTATAGTTGATCCGTGGAGAGGTTGGAACTACTGAAAGAGACACTTCATCCCTCCTCAACTATCTGCAGGACATGTCTATAACTTGGAACAAAGAAGTGTTTGGTAACGTGTTTGCAAGAAAGAAACAAGTTCTCAGCAGATTAAAAGAAATAGAGAGGGAGATTGCAAGTCGTCCAACATAAGCAGCTTGGCGATTGCAAGGACGGTAAAGCAAAGTGTATAATCAATTTTTCATACATGAGGAGATATTTTGGCACCAAAATTCAAGATTCCAATGGATGGCTGAAGGTGATAGGTGTACCGGGTTCATTCATGCCACTAATAAAGTTCGCTGAAAAAGGAACAAAATTGAATGTCTGCAGATTCACAGCCAATATTGGTGTCATAATGTCAACATACTTAAACGGGTGTCAATTGATTATATCACAGGAAAAACAACAAGTTGGGAAGGTTGAAGATGGATACACATGTAAGACGACCAAGGCTCTCGGCAGAAGCAATAAGCAGATTGGTGGGTGAAGTTGGTGAAAAGGAAATGTAGAGAGCGGTGAAATCTATAAAGCCCTTGAAAGCGCCTAGACCCATTGGCTTCCCACCATCATTTTATCAGAAATTCTGACAAGAATTGAAGGATCGAGTGGTATTTGTGGTGAAAAAAGCTTTCCTAGAAGGGTGTTTCCTTAACCAAATAGCAAGAATACTCATGGTTTTGATCCTGAAAATTGACCATCCTGAGAACTTCAGTCAATGTAGACCCATCTCTCTTTAGAAATGTAATATTCAAGATCCTGACTAGAGTTAACTGAACGACTAAGACTGTACCTTGATGAGATTGTAGGTCCACATCAAAGCAGCTTCCTTTCAGGAAGCTCAGCTCAAGAGAATATCATTGTGGTGCAACAGGTAATACAGAGCATTAGAAGCAGAAGGGGTCGAGAAGCTTACATGGTAGCAAAAGTCAGCTTGGAAACGACCTTCGATAGGGTCAATTCGAGATTTTTGGAAGACACTTTGATTTTTTTTTTTTTGGTTTCCAACTAACTGGATCCGGCTGATCATGTTTTGTGTTACAGGGCCATCAATTGCAGTATTGTTCAACGGTGAATGATTCGGGACCAATTGTACATATTTTTCCTCTCATTTCTAGTTCGTTTGACTTGGTATTTCATCGTCACTCGTCCTAGCACGTGTGAGAGGATCGAGGACGAGTTTCCGGTTGATTGGAGGTCAAAAAATGCAAAAAGAGAAGAAAAGTCCAAAGTCGTGGTTTGTGCACCTCATTGGGCGTGAAGTGCGATGATTCCAGAGAGTTTTGTGCACCTCATTGTACCTTGACTGGATCACATTCGCTGGACCGTGAAAACTCACCCCAGACCGTGAAGTTGGACCAAAAATATCGCAAATTATCCATAAATAAAATGATTAATTGAAAACTTATTCCTTTCAATTAAGTTTCTTCACTCTCCACTCGATAAAATCCACTTCATTCTACACAATTAGAAAGAAAAATATTAGACATGTCTCCACAAACATAAATAAGATTAGTTGTTTAGAATATTAAATATACCGAGAAAATTAATTATATGAGTGTGGGCGGGTACCCATGGGACGGGTTTACCTAAACCCAACCCAACCCGATGAATAGTGAACGAGTTTAAACCCAAACTCGGCCCAAAACCCGTCAACACGGATTTTACCCGCGTTGACCGGATTGGGTCGGGTGGGTACCCGTGAGTTCGGGGTTTGTTGCCATCCCTAATAACGAGTACCGTATTACCCAAACGGGTATTAGCGAGTAACCCGTGGGTATCCATTGTTGAAATTTACAGTACCAAATTCGATGAATAAAATGGGTATTTGGGTACCCATAACCCTAAAACACGAGACGGGTATGGTTATACCCAAATACCCGTTTCTACTTGCCCACCCCTAACTCAGGGTGGACTATGAATAAGTGTGTAAGCACTTTACGGTTTTCGAGATACTGTACCTAGTAACACTTCTCCTCAACATTGTGGAAAGTGTAATGCAAAGATATCATATTACCAAGCTCTGCTCTCATTATCTTTCCGACTTTATAAATTTGTCTTTTGTTATGCGTTTCCTCGGTCCCCTTGCTCTCATTCCCTACCTTGTGGATATTCCTTAGCGGAACACCGACCGATCTCACCTACCGAACGTATTGCTTATTATCTTTAGTCAAAGCATTCCCCTAGCTTGATTCATCCGGATATAGATCCAACCGATGATTGAGAAAACCCAAATTAGCACCAGGATTCTTTAAATCTGCCACTTCTAGAATCAACCAACCAACCTTATCGGAGTCCCTACCCGATGATCGCAGCTCTAGAATAAAAGTGTTTCTCTTTCTTTAATCAAAGTAGTGTTTGTTTCTTAAAGGAAAGCTAAAAAAGAATAAAAGTGTAATTTTAATATTTTTTAGGACGACTGATAATAATTTTAAGGACAACCTTTATCAATTCCCTTATCAAATGACACTAGCACAAAACTCAAGAAAAAACATACCAAAGCCCACAAGAAAAGAGGTACTAATTAATGTTCTAACTTTTTAAATTTATCGCCCTAACTTAAACAAGTTGACGTTTTGCCCCCAAAATATTCCCAATATCTAACCAAATTCCCAAAAACACTTGCCCTGATCCCTAAATGTCAGTTGTCACCCTAGGATCCACGTTGCCGTCGTTCGCCCTGGAAGTCCTTGCGGTGGTTGCTCCTCTGCTCGGTCCGTCCTATCAACGCCGCCAATTCCGGGAAAATGAAAAATCAGTTTGCAATTAATTGTAGTTCAGCGACAAAATCTCTAGGACGCAGAGAGTCTAAAAGGTCGGCATATTCGCTTTTGTAGATCTAGGGTTACTCAGTCTACTTTGGACCCTTGTCCCCGTGCTTCTTCCCCCGCAAACCGTCTCCCACCACAGAAGGCGATAGAAAATTAGGCCGTGGGTGAAGAATTCCGCCTGTGAAAATTGGGGATTAGGATTTAGGGCGATGGATTGGGGGCGTGGGTGAAGAATTTCGTCGATATCCTCATGAGCCGCTAACGAGTATAGCAAAATTAGGGATTAGGACGATGAATTGGGGACGACCATTTTAGGAATTGGAGATAATATCGCTTATTTGGTTAATTTAGAATAAAACTTTTAAAAAGTTAGGAGGTTAAATAGAAATCCATAAAAATATTAGTATGAGTCTCTAGGAAGAGCGAGAGGGTCGGGCCCAAAGCTAGTAAAAATGAGAAGGAGATGAAGTAACTAGAGAAAAAATTATTAAAAACACCAAAGGAAAAATTCAAGACCCAAAATAATCTCTCTCTCGGTCAGCAAGAGTTACGGAGCGGCGGAACCTAGGGGTTTTCTAGGTTTTCCGAGGTGAGCGTGAGGATTGATTTCCAATTGCGTAAAGGTTTTCTGTTTCCAATCAGAAACGAGTTCTGGTGGAGGAGTTTGAATACAATTGCGGTGCTGATTACAACTATAAAAAGTTGATCTAGTGGATTGTACTGTAGACCAACTTACAAGGACTGCGAGTACTAAACCCTAAGATCTATGCTTTTAGTGCTCTGGTAACCTTCTGGTTTGCTACTTGTGATCCAAGCAAAAGATGGAGGTCAAGGAACCTGATGGTTTGGAGAAAGAGGGATTCAACATGGAACCCATAGAGCTACGAAGCATAGCTGAGAGTCTGGAACGGGATCTCGATAAAATCACCTTGGAGGATGAAGAGGATATGCCTCTGGATGTAGAAAATGGTGATGTGGATCTTGTCAGGATGGAAGCGGTAAGACAACTGGGCTTGATTGGTCGATTGCTTTCTGATAAGCAACCCAACATCAAGTCAATGAAAATAGCCTTGATGAAGGCTTGGAATATGAAAAAAGGTTTTCATATCAATGACCTGGGCGATATGCTATTCGCCTTCCAGTTCTTGGACCTTGATGACAGAAACAAAGTCTGCTTCGGGGGTCCCTGACATTATGAAAACAATGTTATGGTCTTTATGTCAAGCTTGCTCATAAAGAAACCTACTCCGGAGGCACTACACATGATTGGCATTTGGATCCAGATCAAAGAGTTCCCAGCGGAACTACGAACTCAAACGATGGCGGAAAAAAACAGCAAATCGATTCGGATCCCTAGTTTGGTTCGATGACAGCTCAGGAACTATGTGGGATACATACATGCGAATGCGAGTAAGCCTATCCATCAATAACCCTCTGAAGAAAAAAAATAAAACTGAATATCGGAGGAAGATTGATGGATTACCTGGTGAAGTATGAGAAGCTACCGATGTTCTGCTACTCCTATGGGCGCATTGGACACCCAAAGCTGCGATGCCCTAGGCCATCTGGTCTGGTGCCTGATCCGTTTGGTTATGACCTAAGGACTAGCCCCCCTGGACCTCGAAATTGGTCATCTCATTTCACAAAGAAGGAGGATGCTGAGCTGTGGGCATCTCTGCGCAAAAAATTTGATATGGAGAGTGTTAGCTCTAATTCCTGTGGTGACAGAGCACCTTCTGAAGAACTAGTTGAACCTGATCCTATCAAAAGCATACAAGAGAAGGTAATTGTGAAAGAAACAGCTTATCAAAGGATTCAGGTGGATACAAGCGAAGGGGGATTGGGGAAACACCAAGACTCCCCTACAGAGAAGGCTATTGGAGAGGGTTTACAGGAACCCTTACAAAGAACAGAGCACATGCAGGCTTCCAAGGAAGCTGGTGTGCAGCCCCAGACTCAAAGAAAAGGGGAAGAGACCACTACACCCTATTCGGGTAAGATGGTGAGTGGAGGTGCTCTGCACCAATTTGTCATGGGGACAAATAATACGTGGCCAAGCAGAAAGAATACTGGCAGAGTGTGGAAAAGACAAGAGCAAACTATTCCAAGACACAAATCTAAGATTCAAGTCACACCTCAAAAGAGGATGGAAGAAGATTGTACAGAGGCTGAACGCAGAGAGAGGGAGATCCAAAACCAAAACAAGAAAGCTAGAGTACTCAACTTTGAAGAGGGGGAGACCCTGATTCCTTCTGAACCAAAAATGATTAAGGATGGCGAAGAGGCGGACCCTGTCAAGGAACAGGGCCGCCCAGCTCAATGAGCATTATAAGTTACAACTGTCGTGGGCTGGGGAAAACCACGACAGTTGCTCGAGTAGCTGAACTACTCACAGAATAAGACCCCAACATAGTGTTTCTCATGGAAACAAAAAAGAAAGAGCATGAATCGGAAGAGACAATAAAGAAATAGGATGGTCTAAAGGCAGAGGAGTGGGATCCAAAAATAGAGCAGGGGGGCTCATAATGATGTGGAAAGATGAGATGAGAGTAGAGGTTAAATCTGCTACACATAACTACATCGATGTAGTGATTACTGAGGGCTCAGAAGATAAGAAGTGGAGGCTGACTGTGATATATGGTTGGCCAGAACAAGAGAATAAACCCAAAACTTGGGAAATGATAAGAAGACTACATGGCCAGTGCAATCTGCCATGGGTACTGTGTGGGAACTTTAACCAGGTCCTAAGCTATGAGGAGAAGAATGGAAGAAACCCTCCTGATATCCAAAATATGGAGGAATTTCAAGCTACTTTAGATGAATGTCATTTGGAAGATCTGGGGTACTATGGAAGTATGTTCACGTGGGATAATGGAAAGATAGATTAAGATTTTCTAGAGCAAAGATTAGACAGAGTTGTGGCCAATATGGAATGGAAGACTGTGTTCCCAGAAGCACGAGTCATTCACTTGGATCGATGGACTTCAGATCATATTCCCATTAAAATAAAACTCAATTTACAAGAGGAACATATCAAATGGGGATGGCACTTCAAATTTGAGGCCTATTGGCAGAAGCATGAAGAATGTGGTTCTGTAATTGAGACTGAATGGATGAAGAATCCAGACTTACCTCTGGAGGATAGAATAAAGAATTGTGAGAAAGCATTGCTTGAGTGGGGAAGGAGAACTTTTGGCAGTTTAAAAGTGAGGAAGAAGAGAATTGAATGAGCATTGTCCAAGGCAGTCCTGTTACAACGACGGGCCTTGGAAAGGGAACTAAATGAGGTATTGGACTTAGAGGAAATCAGGTGGAAACAGAGATCTAGGTCAGACTGGCTGAAGGAAGGGGATAAAAACATAGGTTTCTTCCACCGCAAGGCTTCTAACAGAAGGAGAAGAAACACGATCAAGGAACTGCAGGGAGAGAATGGAATGATGTTTAGGGGACAGGAGGAAGTGATGGCCTGCTTTACTGAACATTTAATAAAGCTTTATATAGTCGAGAATACACCCAACATCAATGAGGTCCTGGAAGTTGTGGAACCCAAGGTTACACCTCGAATGAACCAGGAGCTTCTGAGGCCCTTCTCAAGAGAGGAAATCTATGAAGCCTTATCTAAAATGGCACCAACCAAAGCACCTGGCTCGGATGGTATGCCAGCCCTGTTTTTTCAAAAAAACTGGGCCACTGTTGGGGACACGGTTTGTTTGGAACTTCAAAGAATCCTCCTAACTGGGGTGGTTCCTCCTAATCTGAATCACACTCTATTAGCGATGATCCCGAAGACAAAGAAGCCAGTTTCTCCAAAATAATTTCGACCTATTGCACTCTGCAAAGTTCTTTACAAGTTATTATCTAAGGTCATTGCAAATCGACTAAAGATAATCTTGGATGAGGTCATCACAGACACTCAAAGTGCTTTTGTCCCGGGAAGGAACATCACAGACAATATCATGATTGGATTTGAATGTTTCCATGCTATGAAAAAACAGGAAGCAAGGGAAGAAGGGGTTTGTTGCCGCTAAGTTGGACATAGCAAAAGCCTATGATCGTGTGGAATGGAACTTCCTAGAGGGAATCATGCTTAAGTTGGGTTTTCATGCTGACTGGGTCAAACTGATAATGAACTGTGTCACTAGTGTTAGCTATGCAGCTTTGATCAATGGCCATCAAACACAGACTTTTAAATCCACCAGGGGATTAAGGCAGGGGGACCCCATATCCCCCTACCTCTTCCTTCTATGTGCTGAAGGTCTATCAGCTTTGACTAGGAAAGTTGTGGAAGATGGGAAAATTCGAGGCATTAAGGTGAGCAGTAATGGGTCGATGATCACTCACGTATTCTTTGCTGATGACAACATTTTCTTTTTTGAAAATAAGAAGGAGCAAGGGGAAGCCCTCAGAGATTTACTCAGAACCTATGAACTAGCTTCGGGTCAGCAGGTCAGCTTAGCAAAATCCGAGCTTTCTTTTAGTACAAACGTGCTGGAAAGGGACAGAGTGGAATTGGGTGAAATTCTTGGTATGAGAAGGGTTATGTATCATGACAAGTATCTTGGACTTCCTACAATTATAGGACGAGTCAAAAAAGCTGTTTTTGCACAGCTTATTGATCGAGTAAGAGACAAGATCAAAATGTGGAAAGGGAAACTACTCTCAATGGCAGCAAAGGAAGTGCTCATCAAAGCTGTGGCATAGGCTCAGACCCTCTATGCCATGTCAGTGTTCCAGATTCCCCATGGAGTGATTCAAGAGATTCAAAAAATGCTTGCCAGCTTCTGGTGGGGCAGAAAAAGAGAAGAAAGAAGGATCCATTGGATGAGTTGGGAAAAGTTATGTCGACCCAAATATGAGGGAGTGATGGGATTTAGAGACCTACATGGGTTCAACATTGCACTACTGGGCAGGCAGCTTTGGAGCCTGATAAAGAAACCTGATTCCCTAGTGGCAAAAGTCCTAAAGGCACGCTACTACCCTCATTGTGATGTTCTTGAAGCTGATATAGGAGGGAATCCAAGTTATGTTTGGAGGAGCCTCATGTAGGCTCAATCCCTAGTCGGAGAATCAAGGATGCTCATGATGAATGTCCATTTTGTGGACTGTTGGAAACCCAAGAACACATCACCAGGGAATGTGACCGGGCAGGAAGGGTGTGAAGACCTAGTGAAATAGCAAATCTCTTCAAAATGGGTGAAGGAAAGAACTGCGAAACGTGGCTGTGTGATCTAATTGAGGGTGGCAGCACAGAAGAACTACTACAGGTACTAATGACACTCTTGTTTTTATGGAAGGAGCGAAACAACCATCTATCCAGTAACCCTAAACTAGAGGAGTGGGAAATTGTGAGCAAAGCTCTGAATTACCTGGAAGAGTATAAAGCACAGCAAAGGCAGGGAGGCTCAGGAACACCGTCATCACGCCCACGAGCTCGGTCCAAGTGGGAACCCCCTCCTGATGGTCTCTTAAAACTCAACACAGATGCAGCGATCCAGGGAGAAGAGGGAGCGGGTTACGAAATGATATTAAGAGACAACTCTGGAAATTTCCTGATGGGAGCGACTTACCGAACGAGAAGGCGATGGCCGATCGAGATGGCGGAAGCCCAGGCGATGCTGTGGGGCTTGAAATTGACCCGAGCGAACTACTCCCAGCCTCTGCTCTTGGAATCAGATTGCCAGTCGGTGATTCAGAAACTCAATCGAAGGGAGGCAACAGAGATGGAGGTGGGGATGATCTGCGACGAGATTCGAGAATTTGCGAATGGAGGTGGGAATGTTGAATGGAGATTTTGGAAAAGAGAAGGAAATGCATGTGCCCACAAAATGGCTCGACTGAAGTGTAGGGTAGATGAGACAGAGATATGGTTTTCCAGGCCACCTGTCATTTTAGTCCCTTTAATTTTGCAAGAAAGCAATGTAGTCCCTGAACTTTGATTTTTTGGGAATACAGATGAATTTGTAAAAAAAAAAAAAAAAAACAAGAGATAAAATTGAACTTGTAAGGGACTAATTGGTAAGGGGAGACTACACTAATTCTAGGTCTTCCTCGTCTCCCCCACAAGAAATGGCGGGAAGCAATCGCTAAGCTCGGCAACTTTGGGCGGGAAACTCTTACCTTCTTCCACTCCCCCCCTATTTATCGCCCTTCAACCGCCCTAAAATCCGACCCTCGCAAAAAGCCATTCTATATCACCAACGCAGCGCCGAGCTCGATCTGAGAGAGCCAAAGCACCTTCTGAGTCGGAAATGGTGGGACCTATGTACGATTGCCTTGCAAACCCTCTCGGAGCAATCCGACTGACATTCGAGAAGGCAGTCGGGTCAGGCTGCGAGCCCTCCGCCTTCGATGGCAAAGACTGGGGCGCTCTCGACGTCTTTCGCGAGTTCCTGGTGGACCAAGGCAACCTCTCTCAGGTCAGTAGATATACTATTTCCGATAGCCTCATCATCTTTCTGATTAAATGTTTTAGGTTACAAAGGAACTGTAGACTATTGCAACTATTTAGGGAAACAGAAAGAGGCCTTTACGTTTCAGGGGTTCTCATATTGGATTGCTTGGTAATCTAGGTTCCGGTTCTGAATAGTGAAACTCTGAAGTGGGTTCAGCCCAACACTCTGGTACGCTTTAGGGGAATGGTACAGGACATGCTGGGAAATGAATTCTACGCTGGTGCTTACAAGGTGCAAACATGCTGACTCTATTTGTCTTTTACCGTCTTCTTTAGTGTGTTCCCTATATGAATTCATTTAGCTCATGGAAGTCTTGTGCATTTGTGTTGATGAAGGATGGTTCTGGTTGGAGAACTAACAAATTTGGGGATGACTCTCAGCAACCTATTGATTTCTCACCCGATGTGAGGGTTTGGGAGCGACGATTGTTGTATTGTGTTCAGGTGTGTATCTACATATCTCCTTATCTTAGTTTCTTCATTAATCTTGTAGCCATAAGTTGGAGATTTGGTCTCGAAGTTCTTGTCTTGGAGGATTAAGTGAAGTACTCTGGTGTATACATTGAATATTTTGATGAATACTGAGGCTGGCACCTGCGTCTTGAAGTATTGTTGTTCAGTTGTCTGTGGGTTTGCAGATTGCTTCTGGAAGTGTGCTTCCTCATTCAATGGCTGTTTGCTCATGCAGGTTCCCGGGCTTAACAGATGGGCTGAGAGCGAGGCTGCTTCTGAGGCTACTGTTACTTCCATGGATTTGACATCACAACAAAGAGATAAACGTCAGAGAATGGATGCTGAATTAATGGATTATGAGGTCTGCCCATCATTCCCCATCTCATGAAGCAGTTCTTTTGGTTTCTCTTACTTTCAACTTAGGTACAACTTGATTCATAACTTGGTTATATGAACAGTATAAAAAACGTAGCTTCAAGTTTTGCCGCTTATTTACCCAGATCATGTGTACGCTAACTTGATACTGGTGATCAGGTCCTTTGTCTTTGCCACATCATGATGTGACTAGATTTCCTGCTTCGTCTCAACACCCTCATTACAGCAATAAAGCATTATTTATACTTTACACAATTTTTCTCTGTTGTTTTCTTTAATCTGTTCTTATCATTCACAGGGCTCTAATATTGTGCTTGAAGATTCACCTAGTGCAAAAAGGATGGTAAGTGTCGCTGGTTTGGGCATCCTCTCAATACTTAATGTAAATGTTTATGCTTGACACTTGAGGGTTTGAATGTACATTTTCCTTAAATTTGGGAATTGTTTTTTGGAAAGTGGATGAACATTTTATGAAGTTCGGAAAAATGTTTGTCTGGTAAGAGCTTAGAAAAAAGTAAAGATGATGGAAAGTGAATTTTTTTATTATTAATAGAATGGTAGTTGATGGGATGATGAATAATTTGTTTAATAGTAAAGTAGGTTTTAGAGTGAAGTTGTGTATAAAGCCTAAAATTTTGACTAACATTTAAATTTGGGGAAAATTTAAAAAGTAAATGTAGATACAAATACCGTGAGAATCTTGACGGTTATTTTCCGGTAAAGTGGTTGTACATTTTGAGTGCTGATGTTCCCTTGAGCAAATCTTGATGTATTGCATTGTATTTTATTGTGTTTTGTTGACGTGATGTGGTTACTCCTGATACTGAAGCGCATGTTGTATTCCCTTGTAGAGAGAGGATGGACATCCTTCCCCTTCTGTGCAGCTTTCCGACCTTAAACCTGAAGGGCCATGTTCTAGCACGATGATGAGACCAGAAGTTGGAGACTCTCTTTCTTGCCTTGTGAAGGTAAAGTGACTAACCTATTGTAATTCTCAAGTCATCAGAATTTAAGTGCTAATCCATTAGATTTCATTTTTCACCCTTCTGACGTTCATTCTTTCCCTTCTTTAGGTCTATGATACTCGGGAGTCCGAACTCAAGCTGAATGATATTTTTGAATTTGTTGGTGTCTTCACTATTGAATCAGAGCCTGTACCTGCTGATGATGGTGATGACGTCGACCTAACCACTGGCTTTCGCAATGATTTGGTCCATTTGCAAGCCAACAAGGTTTATTCCCTCGTCTTAACGTAAACAATGTCATTTACTTTCAAGTTCGACCAGTTATGGTTGTGACAGTACTAGTATGGCATTCATAAGTAGCTTCCCTTTCTCGAATAACATCTGTAAATTATTCTGTTGTATAGGTGCCATGCCTTCACTGCATTGTCCACCGAAAACTTGCAGTTTCTGATTTTCTGAGGTCTTCACCCATCATAGAGGTAACTATGTTAATGTCCCTATATGACTTCTGCCATTTGTGCACTCTTTGCATTTTAGTAGCTTGAGGTAAATTTCAACCTATCCTTTAAGCTAACCCGATCTTGCTCCTTGACATTGTAGCAAAGTAAGCATGCAGTCATGAATACAAGGGAATCTCTGCTAAGGCATCTTACAATGCTTTTAGGCAATGATGGTGTGGCAGCGAATTACATGTTGTTGCATCTTTTGTCCAAGGTAAATGGATATCTTCTATCATTAAAAAATGCTTTACTCGTCTATTGGTCTTTATAATGACTTTTCCTGTGCAGATACATGCCCGAGTTGACAATGTTGCCGTCGGGAAACTTTCATTGAATCTCACATGTTTGAGCAAAGAAGCACTGTCTGTATTTGGGGTGCAGCTTTGTAATGCTCTGAGGAACCTGCTTCCATTCACAAATTCCATACCCTTGACTGTGAACTATCTTAATACAGCTTGTCTTGGCCCCAAAAAGGATTATCAAAGGAACCGGTAGTTTATTTATCCCTTTTTTTTATTCACCTATCTTGTTTAATAACTGTATTTTTCTTCCTCCTGCTAATACATGAGCCACTAACCCTCATCTTCTATTAATTGTAACTTAAAAGCTTTGCATGCTCCATGTTTCAGATTAATAGGGGGGACCCTTCAGCTAGCTGAGGGCTCACACTTGACAATTGATGAGACACAGCTGGAAACTGGAACTCTCAACTCTGTTGGGATTGAGAATGCGAGGCTGCTAAAAGATCTAGTGGAGCTACAGAAGGTTGTTTGATTGTATTCTGCTTCTGTTGCCTGCTATACTTCATCGCTCATTGTGTATGCCTCGACTCAAGATGTCTTTGAAAAGTATATCTTTCGTGTCCAATTTGTTAGGTGGAGTATGATTTCACATACTACAAGATGGAGATGGCGGCTGATGTGCAGCTGCTGGTATTGTCGGAGGGCAAGTCCAACATATTGCCAGCCGATATTGTTCTGCCTGTGCGGCCTTCTGATGTGTCTCGCCCGGAAGTAGTGAGCGCAGAAGCTCTGGGAGCTTGGAGATGGTACTTGGCCACCATGAGGACATTGTCACATACCATAGAGTCAGAGATCCAAGAGGTTAGACTTGGAGCTTATATAGAATCTTCAGAGAAATAAAAAGTGACAAGAAAAGATAGTTGATGTGCCTTTGTCATGGTTTGATGTGCAGGTGGTAGAAAAGGATCTAGTTGCTGCAAGGCAAGCCGATCGAAGAATTGGCAGCAAAGAGTTTAGCAGGTTAGTCACTTCCATGCATATTAGCACTTGGAGGGTGTTGTGTGAAATAAACATGTGATGTGTCTTTTGATTGTTTGAATAAACTTATGGTTATGTGTACAGTCTGCTGACAATGGGGAGGCTTATGTCCTTGAGTTTCGGGGAGACAACGCTCTCACTGGAGCACTGGGAAATGGTGAAGGAGCTGGAGAAGTTAAGAAAGGAGAGGATCAGCTGAATGCTCTGATTCCCATCCTTTGTATCATTCAGTTATATGATATGGCTGTTGGTGGACTGGTTGGTGAGAACTGAGAAGGTGTGTAAATAACTGGAGATACTTGCTCCGTAGATTATCTCTCAAACGTAGACCGAACCAAATTAATTATGCTCCGTTCAGTCTGTGCGTCTCGCAGCGTCTCGTTCAAGCTTATAACTGTCAAATTCACGATTTTGGTTTTCGATAGCGGAAATAGTTCAAGCTTATATATCTTAATTGAATTAATAATCTAATTTTCGCATTTTTAATCTTTTACTGTGTGTTTTAAATTTTCACCTATGTGTGTGGTTTAAGGTTACTAATGTAGATGAACTTGGACCGATGGCGATGGCAATGGATCTAGATAGTGGTGACTGCATGACAACTCTCCCTTGGATTTGGTTCTACGTTATCCGGTCAAGCACCTTGTGGTCTTACCGAAAAAGAGCTTGGGCAGTAGTGCTCACTTGTGCTTTGAGGTTCTGGAATAGAGCTTTTTAATTCTTTTGGCTAGCCTGCAAGTTAGAGAACTATCCACTTGAATTCACAACAAAGTAAATCACTCCAGGTTTTGTCAACACCCATGAATGTTGAATGAGGTTGGACAGTATAATGATTGAGGAGATTGGAGTACATAAGGCAACGATGCCAAAAGGGTTCTTTGATCTCATCACTCCTTTTCGCACATAGTTGATAGTACCTCGCTCTTGTAATGGTAAGAACCCACAAGGAAATTTTGCCCTCCTGTTATGTTTGCGTTGGTTTATTATTCAAGCCGACTATCCGACTGTAGTATACTTGCTTATATGAGTATGCTTCTCTAGTCTCAAGGGTACATACAATAAATACATTGCAAGCTCTCTTGTGTTGTAAGGTTTTCACTACTACTTTGCTCTCTCCTTAGTAAATTTGGGATATACTCACCTATGTCCTAAGGTATTGAGTGTTGAGGGAGTCAAGTTCCACGGAGAGGACGAACCGTGTCCTTAATCAACGTCCTTTCCCAATCAGATACATCTTCAAAAGCATGTTCTGGAAGATTATCAACCGATAATGGAAACATAACACTATTGATTTATTAATTTCTAGTAAAGTTTTCTAAGTTGAACATCTTAGATAAAAGGTTAAATACACTTGTATATCCAAAATTTTCACTGTTGTGCCAATAATATCCAAATTTCCCGAAATACCACTTATATCCAATTCCTTCACATTCTTTAAAGGTGTTTTTGGATATACAAGTGTATTTAACCAAAATTATATTGGAAAATGGATAGATTTGGCAAAGAACAACTTTAAAACATGGATATAAGTGGTATTTCGGGAAATTTGGATATTATTGGCACAACCGTGAAACTTTTGGATATACAAGTGTATTAAACCTAGATAAAATGATTACAAACATGGGGCCATATAGAAATTAATTAAAGGATCGAACGACAAATCATCATGCAAGTAATTCTACCTATGTAGGATTGGCAGACATAACATTTAGGTTTCAAGGAGAATGGAAAGTTGTGAATGATGGTCCGACATTGTCAAATTTCCAATGTCCATTCTCATGATGAGACAATGTCCAACAATAAGGGTAAACCTAAGGATAAAAGGTTTTAATGGCTTCAAATTTTGACTTGTGATGTGATCAAATAGTGTATTTTTGGAGCACATTTTTTTTTACAATCAAATCTGCTATTTTATTAATGTGCCATAAAATCTTTATCTAGAGCAGACAAAAGAAAGAAAGGGGCCCTACGGGCTATGAGCCGAGAATTCCTTAGCATCCCAATTACGTTTGGCATGGGCCAATAGATGGGCCACCTGGTTGCCTTCTCGCCGAGTGAAGCTCCATTGAACCGGTCCAATTCTCTTGGCCTCGTTTGCAATCTCTTCCAGCATAGGCCCAACCTCTAGTCTCGTTCGCTTCTCATTCCTCGTTGAGTGTGAAGTAGAGTCACTTCAAGGAGATAAAAGATGATCAGTTCTCTAAGAACTCATGAAACCAGATGGTGTTCATGGCTAAAACGAACACAACAGTGAGAATCAGTGAATGGATAATAGTTAGTTGTTGACATATATTGTCTTAATACACAAGCAAAACGGACGATTCAAAGATATCATATCTACAGATTGGTGAGTATACTCGATATATGTTCACTATAGAAGAGTATCCTCCCTTCGTACACACCATTTCATTTTCAATAAATAGCACATAACCCCCTCTTGTTTTTATACAAGTTTTTCCCTAACTAAAACTTTGCCAAAATCCAAACTGATATTTCTGCATTCTTTTCAAAAGAAAAATCAAGTCAAGTGTGGTTCTCACCGATTTGCTGTATTCGTTGGTTTTCGGGGTTTAAGGTATCACTACGTTGAAAAGGTATGTCATTTCTATCATGAAAGAAATCATTTTCTAACCTTGAGTTCTAGAGGAGAATAAGATTTTTTAAGCAGAGACAATTAGATTAGGACGATTGCATGTGTTTGCATGCATGATATGATGATCTTATATATTACTTGTTTTGACAATTTCCACAATTTCCATAGGAAAGGTAAGAATTGGAGTATACAAAGCAGCAATGCCAAAAGGGTGCTCTGATTTCATCACTCCTTTTCGCACATAGTTGATATAGTACCTCGCTCTTTTAATGGTAGGAACCCACAAGGCCATTTGCCCTCTTGTTTATGCCTGCCTTCCTTTATTATTCAAGCCGACTTTCCGACTGCAGCATACTTGCTTATATGAATATGCTTCTCTATTCTCAAGGATACATACAATAAAGACATTGCAAGCTCTCTTGCGCCGAAAGGCTTTGACTACTGCTTTGTTCTCTCTTTAGTAACTTTGGGATATACTCACCTGCGTCCTAAGGTATTGAGTGTTGAGGGAGTCAAGTTCCACGGAGAGAACGGACCTTGTCCTTAATCAACTTCCTTTCCCAGTCAGATACATCTTCAAAAGCATGTTCTGGAAGACTATCAAATGGTTCCTTCCAGGAATCATTCTTTGCCAAATCATACGTGGCTCCTCTTATGGATCTCTTATTAGGTCCGCATGGCCTCTTCGATGTTAATGCATCGTATGCTGCGTTCAGCTGTCCAAAAGCAGTCAAGTCATTGATAATAGTTAAACAAATCGCATTGCAACATTCAACGGCAGTAGCCAGTGAGATTCGTGACTGATTATGGTCCCTGGTTCAGGTTCCTGCAACTAAAACTTTGACATCCGGAATGGCATTGGCATTGTAGGATGCAAAACGTCATTCAAGGACTACTTACATTCATGTCACAGAACCAGAACATGTAAGCAACTGTGACAGCAGGGGCCCTGCCGAGTCCAGCAGTGCAATGAACATAAACTCTCCCTTTGCCCTCAGAGACGGCCCATTCCAAAGACGAAACAGCCTTGGGAAGTATGCTCCGCAATGAATCAGGGTTAAAGTCTACAGCCTGGACAAAGAAAAAGGAAAAGAAAACGTAATTTCTACTAAGAGCTGGTAGAAGGAAAAATCAGTGTAGTATATCAGCAACATCTCAACAAGATTAGACCCAATTTGCTTACAGGCCTTCTCATGTGACGGACTCCAAGCTCTCGACACCTTTTTACGATGGACTGCAGGTCAATACCCCAAAACTCCACATCCTTGTCCTGCTGCAAATTCAGAATGTAGGCAACATTCTCCTCACTTTTCAAATGATCAATGTCTTCAGGCTTCTGAGGCTGGGAACCCACTATCACATCATCGGTGATCAGCGTGTAGTTCATACCTGAAAGACCCGCCACATTGATCACTATTTAAGATGGGTTGAAATAACAATAATACATTTAAATCAGAAAGCAAATCGCTCCAAAGTAGTGAAGTTCTAGGAAGACAGAACTTGGAGGGTAAATGGGTTTCAGTTCATTCTGAACAGGGCAGGGCGAAAAGGGACAGAAAAGTTGATCACATTCATAGCCACAAAAGTTCACTCAAAAGCCAGCAGCACAGTAATATTAACAGTAAAGCAGTTTCCTGGTTGCGCCTTTTCTTCCCTTTTTAGTGCCTCTAATCTAATGAAGACTGACCCCCATCAGACAAATCAAATTGGTAGCCTTTTGGTTTGTGAAACTGAAATCAGTTGACCACACAAAAGGCAAACGTCAAGTGCCATCCCAGACCGATGCCGGATCCAGCCACGATTTGGGTCGAGATTCAACGATGAGTTCAGACAAACCAAATGCACGGAACAAGGGAAGGATTCTAAACCATAGAATGAAAGAAAAGATGAATCGAGAATAAACCCGGCTAATGATTTGCTGATTCCCCAGATTTTGGAGCAGAAAAAATGACGACACCATAAATCTAACCAAACACACGATCAAAGTTAAGATTTGAGACGAACCCAGATCATGGTGATACTCATATGGATTCCGCATCATCCTTTTCATGGCAGTGTTGTATTCTTCCATCCGGTTCCTCGAGCTCAAAGATACATTATTATCATTATTATTTCTGCTGCTCTCGTTCCTTGCTACCTGACAGCTGATTCTGAACCAATCTCTCCTCTTCTTGATAGGAACCATGAAACTGCAATTGCCTTCAGGCTTCCCTCGCAATCGAATTTCATAATTTGGGTATCTGTAACTCGCTGGCGAGAGGGACATCACGTTCATCTTCTTCTCCACAGCTACAAGCTTTCTTACAAATCTGGTATCTCACTGTGTGTTCTTATTTAACTTTTCTGTTCTCTTCTTCCTCGTCCCTCTCTGGGAAAAAAAAAAAGTTATATTGTTAATTTATTGTGGTTGTAAATATTATATACGGAATATTCCCGGGTAAAAATCGGACCCGGTTTAGCTATTCGGGTCCAAAACTAAAACCAAAATGCTAAGAGGAAAATTCCTCCTCGGCTAGGCCCTCTCCTCTCCTTCCCAGTTCCCACTTCTCTCCTCTCTATCTGCTTCTTCGTTACTTGTGAGCTGAACATGAAAGGCTTCAAATCGCTTTAACTCAAAGAAGAAAAAAGTATCAGTTTTTTAGCGGCGAAATTAGCCAAAAGGTAGAGTTTGGTTTGGGTTAGGTGGCGGCGGCGGCGGGGGAGGGAAAAACGATGGAGTGCAGTAGTTGCAGCAGCAGAAGCTCATCTTCTTCTTTACTACTTCCGGCTAGACCTTCTTCTTTTCGCGTCCCTCACTCTCTCGTTCCTTCCAAGCTCAGACCATCAGTAAGCATGCATTCCTCCTAATGATTATTATTATTATCTTTTCTTAATTTTTTGTCGCGTATATGTGCAGCCCTCTTCAATCATAATTGTGGGTTTCTCAATTTGCAGAAATCAAAGCTACATCAGCGTCTAAGCGTCACGAGAGCTTGCGGCCAGGATCGCAATGACTCTGTTGATGGGTTTTCCATCCTCCCCAGCAAGCTTTTCTCGCAGGAGGTAACCCCCTTTTCTTTGCAGGGTGTCCCCTCCTTTTCTAGTTGGGATTTGGGTAAGTCACGATTTTCTTTACTGGGTAGAGTTTGTTTACTTCTGTTGATCATTTTTAGGCTATTGGAGCTGAATATGGAGAAGGTTTCGAAACATTCAGACAGGATGGACCTATGAAGGTTGATGTGGTAAGCGATTCTTTTCTCCCCAATGAAATTGATAAATTTCTTTAGCTCTTGGTTGTCTCAAGCCGTTTCTTTTTTGTTGCTGCTTGCTGGAAATTTTGTTGGGTTTTGTCTTCTGGTGAATATTCGTTTTAATGGTGAGAATTTTTTAGGATTTTCTGAATGAGAGACTGCAAGAAGGTTTTCTAAAACGGATACGTTATGCCATGAAGCCAGACGAAGCGTATGGTCTTATCTTCTCTTGGGATAATGTTGTGGTAAGTTCTCTAACTCTTTGCCTTGCCTCATTGAAAAATGTAATGCTGAAATGGATAAGCAATTGTTCATCTGTTAGCCAGGAGGGGATACAAACCATGAAGTTTCTATTGTTTGGCTGTAAAGAAGTTCTTGTATCTTGAAGGATACATTCTTTTGTTTTAGTTAGGTGTCATCTCCATGTTTGATTCTTGTCCATGGCATGGCTGCGTCATTGTTAGACACACTTGAAGAAAATATGGATTCTTTTGCCAAGATTACACATCTAAGAACTTAGAACCCATAATGTGGGGTTTCTTTTCTTTTCTCCATAAACCCTATTTCTCGTATTTGCGGTGCTGATCCTTCTTTGTGTTCCTTGGTATTGATACCATGGCAGTTGATTTTATTTCTGCTACTGTCTTTAAGGCCTTCAGACCTCTATGCTTACATTTGGCTTGAACGTGCACCTAGAAATTCTATTAATATTCTTAAGAGTGCAGTGGATAATTACTGTTAGTAGGGACGCTTGCTGCCCTCATACTTATACTCAACATGAATTGAATTGATCCATTGTTTAAAAACCAAAAGTAATCCTCAGGGTGCCGAGTACCTGATTTAAGGGGTCGGCCTTAAACTTCTTAATTGCCTAACCGAAATGTACTTGCAGTTTTACACTCTATTGAGAATGGTGTGGTTTTGTTTCAGACAGATACTCGAACTATGAAGATGAAGATATGGAAGCAGCTTGCTTCTGAAGAGGGTATGCTACTAATGCTTTTCCCTTTATATTCCGTCTGCAAAGTTTTTTGTGAAATACATAAACACTTTATCTAAAGCTTTTTCATTGCCACCTTGGTTTTCCACTGAAACTAGTTTTGTATTTAGTTTGTGTCCATGAAAAGTTATTGCCATCACAAATCTGAAGTTGGATGAATACTTTTTTTTCCTTCTTGTTGAACAGTTCAAGATGACATAATGTTGTGCCTAAAGTTTGTATTATCGAACCCTCTGGTATTCAGGACTTGGTTTGAAAGACTAGGAACAAAACTAACAATGTCAATCAAATGATTTTTTTTTTTTGTAGTTATGCAACACTAACGGAAGTGGGCCTTGCTTTTAACTGGTCTTCCTTCGGATAAACGCAGTCATTGCTTACCTTTACTGTATGGTGACCCAACTGGAAATACATTGTTGTCATTTCTGATTTTCAAAAGCTTTTCTATGTAGGAAAGGAAATACCTGAAGATGAACATGTGCAAAGACTGATGCTATATGCAGGTGCTGACCATGTATTGCGTAAGGTTTGGGAATTTCACAGTCTTTATAAGCATTGGTTCTTGTTTCTACCCAAGTTTCATAATCTTTCCCATCATATATGGAATTGGATTCACTCATTTTCCATTTCCTTCTTAGTAAAAAAGAATTTGAACTTTTATGTTTTGTGATAACTGTAGCTATGATTCTTTTCTATCTTTGTTTGCCCACGAAATTGCTCTCTGTTTTCTAGAATATACAGTTTTCTAAAGCTTCTGTTGATACTCCTTGTACTCTCATGCTTCTCATTTAACTGCATACAGTTCTAGTTGTTAGGAGAACGAAGAGTAAATTTTTGGAAGCTGTTCTATGGACTCCAACTGTAGGACTTTAGTCCTGTGTTTCAGTAATTTATCGGGCTATAGAGAGCACCTTCATATTTTCCAGTCGCTGAGAGCACTCATTCAGAGTTATGACAGTGGTAGCTTGTTTTGTATTGAGGAGATAAAAAAATTGTACATTCACTGTAATTGATTGATGCTTGATACAACTATCTTACAGTCCTGAGTTTTATAGTTCCTAGAACATAGCTGGAGGAACATATCCAGATTCTGTGAAGAAAAATATGACATGGACATCATTCAAGTTGTGCCTTTCACATTAGAGTCAAAAAGTGAGGATTGTGGATCATTTATTTGTTTGTTTCTTTTCTCCTGTGACCAATGGTTTCAAGGGTTGTTCGAATAAGGTGAAAGGAGAGAGGACCTGTTACTCTCTGCTAGCATCATGAGGTGTGTCTAATTCCAAACGGATCAAAAGAAGGGTGTTTTAGGACCACTGTTCACTGAAGACCGGAATTTCATCTTTTCTTTTCGTACTTGAATATTCGTGTATGCTTATTTGTCAGTATTGCAAATTACATGTTAAACACCTACACTGTCGATAGCTCGTGATTTTCAATGCATTTTGTCTTACTATCCTCAGAAACTTACAGGTATTACTGTGGGAGTTGTCAGAAAGTGAATTGGAGAGGTTAAAGTCAAGGCTGTCTCAGTTATATGTGGACCATCTTGTTAAAGTGAGTATATCTCTTTTATTCGTTGTTTTGATAAGTTGGTGAAAAGGCAAATGATCCTAATTATACTTTTTGATTCAGCTCAGGAAACCGATTGGTGGTCTTCGAGAGTGGCTGGATGCTGTGTCTAGATCTGGCATCCCTTGTGCTGTGGTTTCAAGTCTTGACCGGATCAGCATGGTTGAAGCCTTAGACCGCTTGGAGCTCAAGAAGTATTTTCAGGTTTGTTTTGCTTAATGTAGAAAAGGGTAACATTCAGTAGCACGATTTGTAGGGATAGATGGTCCCACATGACTATAATCATTGGCCATCGTTTGTGCTTCTCCTCATTCCATAACCTTTATGTTTTTCCAGGCAGTAGTGTCGGAGGAAGATGGCATGGAGTCAATAGCCCACAGATTTCTTTCTGCAGCTGTCAAGGTATTTGCATTCCACATTTTTGCATTGAAGTTTATTTACAGGTCTTCCTGGAATCAGAGTATTCCTTCCTTTTCATCTTCCATTAACTATAACTGATAGCTGCTAACTCTTTAAAATGTACATGCTAATGAAAAACTCATTCTTGTTAATCTTTTGGCAGCTAGATAGGAAACCATCAAAATGTGTGGTATTTGAGGATGATCCCAGAGGAGTTACTGCTGCACACAACTGTACTATGATGGCTGTGGCATTAATTGGCGTCCACCCTGCGTAAGTACTCTCCTTATTCAAACAGATTTTAGTAACTTACCCTCTCCTGCAATTCACACCTATCATTCTTTCTCTGAAACTACAACAACTCAATTTGATTCAATACATAGATGTCGATTGGAAATGCTAACTGGAGATATAGTTGAGTGAGTGAAAGAATTATTGAAATAAGTGAATGATTTGTAAAATGATTAGGTGGTTCCACATGGTGTTGGCTTTTCTAGATACAAATATAAATAGGTGAACCGGAGTGAGGTAACTAAAATGCTCCAGAAACGTTTGGAGTTTTGTTGAAGAAAAACGCAGGCAGGGCTGGAAATGTAGAAATGGTAAAGGTAATATGGTAGAAGTTTGAAGTTGGACAGATCTATTTGATTGAGAAGTCCTTAGATCTTCTTGTTTGAGGAGCTAGTTGGGCAGATCTATTTGGCTGAGGAAGTGTTGGATCTACTTGTTTGAGAAGTTAGTTGTTTGATCAACTAGAGAGGCACAAACTGTAGGCTAATTTCGTGGAGTAAGCAGGCTTGCAAATGTATGCACCTTGTGAAATATGATGTCATCTTCTTTCACACTCATGTGAGATTCAATCATCTATCTTGCTTCATTGCTATCCTGTGGTGGCAAACATAACATTAACCTACCTTGTGAAATGTTTTACCATCGTTCTTTGGTATGATAACCATGTACAGTTCAATGATGTTTGCTTCTATGTTATTCCGTGGTGAAAAAATTGAATTATGATACGTTTGCTGCAGGTATGAACTGGTGCAGGCTGATCTTACAGTGGCGAGCTATAATGATCTGTCAGTAATCAACCTCCGTAGGTTATTTGCCAACAAAGGTTCGACATTTATGGACATGGAAAAGCAGAGCATAGAGAAGTCTCCACCCAAAAGAAAGCTAAGCATTGACACCATTTTCTGAAGGAAACCAGTTTCCAACTCCCCTCCATGTTCCAACTTGTAGGTCTTTAGCAATGTACCAATCTTCTATTCCAATACCCCCCATATTAAGAATCAATACGTGCTGAATGGCTCTTGTAAATCTTTGATCTCCTTTCGCATTCTTTATGCAGACATATGTTATGCATTAGCTTGAAGGTTCAGGTTCAGATATTGATGTACTGGGAATTGGAAATAGGCTATCAGGCTGATGGAGTCTAGTATGTTGCAGCAACTCCTGTCTACTTCTATGATTACTTCTAAGATAGTTGATAAACAGAAACTGACAAACCCGAACTGATATAGCATCAAAATTCTACTTGGAATTGATTGACTTATCGGCAAAAAAATAGTAAAATACAAATCAACTTGCAAGAAGATTAATATTATTTTGTACCCCTCTACTAGTGTAAATTAACAAACCTACCTCTGCCAAAACGTATCAACAAGATCCTTCTGTCTAGCAATGAAGCAAGATAATAAGTTATCGTACCATGGGGATCTAAGTTTGTCTTACTTCAGTTTAGGGTTCGTTATCTAGCCAACCAAGGATGGTGATTAGGAAGACTAAACTAACTACCTAGCAAACCACTAACCTAGCTATTTACAAGGCTGGAGCTCCCTTGGGTTTGAATCCCCCTAGTTTCGTCAATTTCAACGATGTTGAGTACTATCCTAGCTCGATTGTCTCAATTTCTCTACTGTTAGGAGATAGAATCCCACGTGATCGACCCGGAACGGCGAATCGGTGGATGGGTAGGTGCTCTATTCAAACTAGGCTTTCATATATTGCTAGGAGGTAGATCGAATAAACTCACGCGGGGATTACCTAGACAATACACGATAGGAGTGACCCAAAGACGCCAATAATGGGATCTAAGGGGATGTTCTCCCTCCTAGGTCAAAAGCTCAATACATGAAAATGGAAACCCAACTCATGCCATTCATGGAAATATCCATCAATTAAGTAAAATCAACAATCAAACATGGAATATGTCACATACATCAACACCTAATCAAAATCTAGACCTAGGGTTCTTAATCCCAAGAGAAGAGGGTGATTTTCTAGATTGAAAAGAGAGAAATTACAAATTGGAGCACAAGATCTTCTTCTTCTTTTACGCTTGATTCCTTGCTTCCAAGCTTGATCAATGCCTTCAATTAAACTCCAATATCACTCAAGAACTCTCTCTCGCTCTCACTAGAACTCCCTTTGGTGATTTGGGTTGAAACCCTAGAGAGAGAATCAATTTCTCCTCCAAAAAACCAGCTCTTCTTTCTCTCTCCCGGCTGCTGTCTTTTATACGCTAGAAAGTTTCGACATCACGGTCACTGTTCACGACCATGACACCGGAGGCCTGACATTGATCTCAGACAAAAATTCAGCATTTGGGGCCATTTTCACGGTCAATTGGTGATTTTCACGGTCTTGGGACCGTGAAAATCTTGAGTTCCCACGAGACACGCGAAACCTTCTGATTTAGGTCAAATGTCACGCCCTAGCTCAATTGTCACGACCTGGAGACCGTGACAATTAGTCCCAGCACGTGACTTTTGACTGTTCTTCACTTTTTGGCGCTTTTCGACCTCCAATCGCGCCGAAACTCATCTCGATCTTTCCTACATGTACTAGGACCTGAAATGTGATAAAAGAAGCACAACCTAGCGTAAAATAGGTCGAGGGACAGTGATAACCAAGTCAAACAATCAAGATATGAGGGGTAAAATATGCATAATTGAACCTGAATCACACTCGACACTTGAACGTTTGCTTGTCACTAAGGAAACAAAGTACAAAACAAGCTAATCTTACAATTTCTTTTTCAACTAAACTTTGGGCATGTCATAGGGCATAAAACGAATGAATCACAATGGTTATTTGATGCCAACATATGGACAAAAACAAAGTAATCATGGCAACCACCACAAATGACATTCAAATGTATTAAGATAGTGCATTCTCACATTATTCACCAACCAACACAACCTGTTTCGACGACTCACCAATCACAGTTACTCATGCATGAAGATCACATCATAGGAACAAACGATCGAACAACATAAGTCCTCACCAAGGTATAAAAAATGAACAAAACATGATGAATGAATCACTAACTCTCGACCAATGGGGTCAGGACCATTTGATGCAAAATATGTGCATACTCACGCTCAATCCTACCGTCCCTTTACCATGACGGTAGCCTCTAATCAACATAATTAGATTTCTATGGTCAACAACTCAAATTGGACAACGTGGTCAATACTCAATCAATCTAATGATAAATACTTCAGTTCAATATATAATAGAGAGTGTAACAAGCATAGGATTCATCAATCATCAAACCCTAATATACATGACTAGAAATCTACACACCTAAGTGACTGAGTGAGAATGGAGTCTACTCTATAATGAGAGAAAGAGGGGAAAATGCAAACTCAATAAAGAGAAATTACCTTGTGGGGATGTGTTCTTCATCTTGAACTCCAATCTTCACTCCTTGGTGATGAATCTGGCCTCCAATTGAGGTTACATGGCTCCAATCACTTTCTAGGATTCCTCCCTAGCCACTTTCTCTCTATAGGAATTTGATGCTCTCACTTCTCTCTAAAAATTTTCTCCCTTCAAAGTGCTTCATATATGATGTTTACCCAGAAATGCACAAGGTACGGTTTCATGTCACGACCGTGAATAATTAAGCCTAAACTAAATGTCCCCCACTTAATCATTTGCTTGTCCCCAAGCAAACCTACCTCAAACCGGTGCAACTTATTAGACTCCCCAATGATTTGCAATCTTGATCGTCGCTAGCGCATGAATTAGCAACTTATGAGGCCACTGCCTTGAACTGTTCGTGTTCTTTGCGTTACATGATCTTCCTTACTTTCTAATTCATATTGAATAGACACTCCTCGTAAGCTTCCTGCAAAATTTTCAAATCTTGTTATGAGATCTTGATTCTTCGAAGATCGTCTCTAACACCTTTCTTTCTTTCCATCATTCACTCCAGGATTTCTTCATAGAGGGTAATGCTTTAATTATGGGAGGGGTCGAACCCTGCTCTAGATTGGTTGGAAACTTTGTGGCTGATGATTTTTTGGACAACAGAGGTAGCTTTATGAGTTCTCATGTCAATTACTTGGAGTGTTGGCTAAACTTCAACCATGTTTGCTTTGATTTTGTTAAGTTTCTCCAGTATCTTTGATTTGTCTTGTTATTTCTTGGTATGGTTTATCTTACGTACCTCGTCTATGTGCTTCCTAATATGGGTTCACCTTTCTTGGGGCCTTCAGGGATTCAATTATTCTTATGAGTGGTTCCATCAGATGAGCTACACAAGCCTTAAGCTCCTCCGTAGGGTGCTGAACAACTTGGATAGCCTTGAGTTGCTCCTAGGGTGGTCTCCATCTTGAAAAGTCTCTGTTGTTGGTGATCATCTGCGTGTAGATCTCCATTATCCTCCTTGCAGTGGGTTGAAAGATGATTCCTCCTACCATTATGTTGACCTCATTGGCTGTTTTTCTTCTTCCAAATCATTCATAGAAGAAATTTGCAATTTTTTCCTTCGTGAATCCACAATCGGGGCACTCGTTTAGTAGTAGATTGAATATACTCCATGTGTCATGAAACAACACTCTTTTTCTTTGACGAATCCTTGAGATTCCTTCCTTGATCTCCTCCATCTTCCAAAATGGAAAATACTCGTCCAAGAATGCTTGTCTACTTCCTCCCATGACTTGAAGGTGCTTGTTTGATGCATATCAAGCCAAACTCGTGCCCTTCCTTTCAACGAGATAGTGAAGAGTTTCAGACGCACTGCTTCTCCTTCTTTTCCTTCCATGGTAGAGAAAACATCATTGAAGCTCCTGATATGCTCTACTGGGTCTTTTTCATCTTCTCCATTGAATTGAAGTGATGTTTGTATAATTTTTCATCCAAGGAGCTTTAATCTCCATATCTCTTGTATGGTTGATGTTGCTTGTCAAGAACCTTGAAGCTTTGGGCCGACAATACCCAAAGAGGGTAACCATCTTGCTCATTGATCCCATTCCTCTATTCTTAAAATGAGATTAACAACTCGTAATATCCACAAACAACTATATTCTTTTAAATACATAATCCAAAATTCCCCGACAACTGCAAACTTGATGTAGTAAACAATTAATAATCCTTGAGATGCCTAGAATCGTATTCCACAAGGTCTTTTGATGGTAACTATTAAAATAAAGAAGTGTATGGTGTTAAAAATTGAATAGCATAAAGTAAAAACATTGGTTGAGGCTCCTAAATATTTTGAGTAACCCACAAAGAAAAGCAAAGAGTAAACAAAAGTAAGAGAGAGATTGAAGCAAGTAAGAGATAATACCTTAGGAAGTATCATCTAGATTAGCATGCCTACTTTTTCATTGATTAGATGACAATATGCATCAATGCTATGGTAACCCCCTATCCCATCCACTCAGGGCGACCTACCTGAACTTTCGCCACATGCGATAGGAATGTAACTAGATTATGCATGCTTCCACTTCATGCCACTAACTAATTAATGAAGAGCAAGAAAGTAAGAATAAAACATCATTAAGTGTGGGCCTCTTGAGCTATAATGATGGTCTATTGTATTGGGGATCTTCAAGTATCGAGTATCATCATCATTCAAGTCTAGAGGGTTGTACTTTCCCTCTACACACACCTAATGATGATGACTACTATATAAGACTAGTTTCCTACCACCCATGATAGTATTATAACAATACACATAGTAATGCACCACAGAAAGATAAAAGGCATATAAGAACTAGACCATCGATGCTCTAAACCAAGCCATCGATGCTCAAGGGCATATTATCAAATCATAGAAAACAATGAACGACATATTATAGAATATATTTTTGTAAGGATGATATAGATGATATTTTGTGATTAGGTACTATTGAAAGGATTCAAACCTAGGACTTTCCATGTTCAAACTAGTGGTATTACCACTA